TTAAACATTATTCAACTCATGATGTTGAGAAGTAGTTCTGTTTTAATTGTGAAGCCATGGATTTCTTAATTTTTTAATCAAGATATAGATTTAAAAGATACCTACCCAAACATTGTTACACTTTTTTTGCCATCTCTTTCCCCCAATTTTTAAAATATTACCAGTTTTTAGCCTGTTTCATTGTAACTTCTATTGAGATTATGAAAGCTTAAATAAACCCCTGGTTTCTTTTAATTGATACAGATATTTGTGCCTATTTATGGGGTACGTATGTGATATTTTGTTACATGCGTAGACTGTATAATGATCAAGGGTGTTTGTGGTGTCCATCACCTTGAGAACTTAACATTACTGTGTTGGGATCATTTCTTTTAGCTATTCTGAAATAGACAACACATTGTGTTGGCTGTAGTCATCCTACTCTGCTACTGAACATTAGAACTTACTTTTTCTTTTGGTATGTTTTTACCTATTACTAACCTGTTTTTTAATTTTTTTATTACCCAACCCACCCAACTTCTTTTTTTTTCCTTTTGAGACACAGTCTCACTCTGTCACCAGGCTAGAGTGCAGTGGTGCAATCTCGGCTCACTGCAACCTCTGCCTCCCAGGTTCAAGCAGTTCTCCTGCCTCAGCCTCCCAAGTGGCTGGGACTACAGGTGTATGCTGCCATGCCTGGCTAATTTTTGTATTTTTAGTAGAGATGGGGTTTCACCATATTGCCCAGGCTGGTCTCAAACTCCTGACCTCAAGTGATCCACGCGCCTCAGCCTCCCAAAAAGATTACAGGCATAAGCCACCACACCTGGCCCCAACTTCTATTATTCTATTCTCTTCCTTCATGAGATCAACTTTTTTAGCTCTCACATGAGTGAGAACATGCAATATTTGTCTTTATAACCCATGTTATCCATCCATGTTGCTGCAAATGACATGATTTCATTGTTTTTTTTTTTTTTTATGGCCTAATACTATTTCATTGCAACTATATATAGTACATTTTCTTTATCCACTCCTCCATTGGTGGACACTTAAGTTCATTCCATATCTTTGCTATTGAGTAGTGCTGCAGTAAATGTGGGAGATGGGCGTGCAGGTGTCTCTTTAATAAACTGATTTCTTGTCTTTTGGGTAAATAGTAGTAGGATTGTTGGATCATATGATAGTTTTCTTCTTAGTTTTTTGAGAAATCTCCATACTGTTTTCCATAATGGCTGCACTAATTTACATTCCCACCAGCACTGTAAGTTCCTTTTTCTCCACATCGTTGCCAGCATCTGTTATGTTCTTTTAATAATAGCCATTTTAACTGGGTAAGATGATATTTCATTGTGGTTTTGATTTGCATTTCCCTGATCATTAGTGATGTTGAGTGTTTTTTTTCATATACCTGTTAGCCATTTGTATATCTTCTTTTGAGATATGTCTATTCATTTCCTTTGCCCACTTTTTAATAGGATTATATGTTTGTTTACTGCTGTGTTGAGTTCCTCATATTCTAGATGTCCCTTGCTCAGTGAATAGTTTGCAAATATTTTCTCCCATTCAACAGGCTGTCTCTTCACTCTGCTGTTTCCTTTGCTGTGCAGAAGCTTTTTAGCTAATTTAGTCTCACTTAACTGTTTTTTTGATGCCTATACTTTTTAGGTCTTAGCCATAAAAGCTTTGCTTAGACCAATGTCCTAAAGTGATTCCCTTATGTTTTCTTCTAGTAGTTTTAACTGGTTTTGGGTCTTCTATTTAAGTCTTTAATCTATCTTGAGTTTATTTTTATATACAGTGAGAGTTCCAGTTTATTCTTCTGCATGTAGAGATCCAGTTTTCCCAGCACCATTTATTGAAGAGGGTGTCCTTTCCCCATTATGCATTTTTGACACCTTTGCCAAAACTCAGTTGGATGTAACTATGTGGATTTATTTCTAGGTTCTCCATCTATTACATTGATCTATTTTTATACCACTACAGTGCCATTTTGGCTACTTTAGCTGTATTTTGAAGTCAGTTACTGTGATGTGTCCAGCTTTGTACTTTTTACCCAATATTGCTTTGGCTATTCTGGGCCTTTTTTGATTCCATATGAATTTTATTTTTTAAGAGATGGGGCCTTGCTCTGATTCCCAGGCTGTAGTGCACTGGCACAATTTTGGCTCCCTGAAACCTCCATCTCCTGAGTTTAAGCCATTCTTCTGCCTCAGCCTCCTGAGTAGCTGGCATTACAGGTGTGCACCACCACGCCCAGCTAAGTTTTGTCTTTTTAGTAGAGATGGGATTTCACCATATTGGCCAGGCTGGTCTTGAACTCTTGACCTCAGGTGATCCACCCGCCTCAGCCTCCCAAAGTGCTGGGATTACAGGTGTGAGCCACTGTGCCCAGCCACAACTCATAACTTTTTATCATTGTACATAAACTCTTCCTTTCAGCCCAATTAATTCTTTTTTCCTGCATTTGGAAAAAAGAATATACAGTTTGTATGTGATACGATACACTGAAAAGTGGTCTTAAATTTTTATTTTTTTTGAGACAGGGTCTCACTCTGTTGCCCAGAGTATAGTGCAGTAGCATGGTCTTGGCTCACTGCAACCTCCGTTTCCCATGCTCAAGTGATTCTCCCACTCAGCTTGCCCAGTAGCTGGGACTACAGGTGGGTGCCACCTCGCCTGGCTAATTTTTTTATGTTTTTAATAGAGACAAGGTTTCACCATGTTGGCCAGGCTGGTTTTGAATTCCTGATTGCAGGTGATCTGCCTACCGTGGCCTCCCAAAATGCCAGGATTACATGCGTGAGCCACCATGCCTGGCTCAGCTTTTAAGATACACTGAAAACTCAATGTGGTTTTAACTTTGAACCCAGTGTCTCTGAATAATGCTAACTCTTGAATGGGGTTCAAAATTAATTTTACTTATGTACATCAGTGAATCACATAATAATAACACTCTAGTATATTTTGTCTTGGATTTTACTACTGGGACAGAGGTCTAGTATGAGATTGCTGCTTTTCAGAAAAAGCCATTTTTTCTGTGTATAGTTACAATTCAAATAGCCTATGTCTCTTAGGTTTGCATTAAGAACCTCACAGAGCTTTAAGGGAGAATTGGAGCAATTAGATGAATGAATTATATTTATTTTTATTACTCTTTATAGGTTTGGCAGTTCTCTACCAGTGGACCAATCTTTTCATCCCCATGTACCTCACCATCAGAGCAAAAAATATTTTTTGGTTCCCATGATTGCTTTATCTACTGTTGTAACATGAAAGGTCACCTGCAGTGGAAATTTGAAACTACTTCAAGGGTCTATGCAACACCGTTTGCTTTCCATAACTACAATGGCAGCAATGAAATGCTGCTGGCAGCAGCATCTACTGATGGAAAATTATGGATCTTGGAATCTCAGAGTGGACAATTGCAAAGTGTTTATGAACTTCCTGGAGAAGTATTCTCTTCTCCTGTGGTCCTGGAATCAATGCTCATTATTGGGTGTAGAAATAATTATGTTTATTGTCTGGATTTATTGGGTGGCAATCAAAAATAATCAAATATGGTCCTTATTTATATAACAAATGTGAGCTGTTTGAAAATATTTTATGATGATAGAGCATGTGGGTAGACTTATTTTATATTAAAGATTATATTTTGGCTAAGAAACAGAAATTTGTCTACTACACTTGATTAGAGAACAACGTTTTACTTCCCATAGGAACAACAGAAGCTTTTACAAGGAGTCAGAGAACAAAACACATCAATATACTTAGTTTTAGCAGGACTTTTGTTTAATTAGGTATGATGGTTAACTTTATGTGTCAGCGTGACTGGCTAAGGGATGTCTGGATAGCTGGTAAAACATTATTTCTGGGTGTGTCTGTGAGGCTGTTTCTGTAAAAGATTAGCATTTAAATTTGAATCAGTAGACTAAGAAGACCCTCCCTCACTAGTGTGCCAGTGTGGGTGGCATCGTTCAATTTGATGAGGGCCTAGAATGAAAAGGTAGAGGAGGGGCAGATGTCCTCTTCTTGCTGAGATGTATCCATCTTCTCCTGCCCTTGGACATCAGAGCTCCTGGTTCTGAAGCCTTTAGACCACTTTCCTGGGTCTCCAGCCTGCAAATGGCAGATGGTGGTACTTCTCAGCCTCCATAATCACTTAAGCCAATTTCCATAATACAGCTCTCCTAATCACTATGTTTCTATGGAGAACCCTAATACATTAAGCTAATTTTATGTGTTTTTTTCCTTAAAAAAACAAGATCCCTGTGGGGGAAAAAAGGATCAGAATGTACTTAGTGGGTTAAAAACAGTCTTTATATAATACATCATTACATGAATTTGCCATTCATGGCAAAGGTTTTCAAAGGTAGGATCTAGTTATCGAATTACATTCCTTATTTAATATTTTTAAATGAAGTACGAATGTAGAATAAAATACACACATACCCCATACCTTCCCCCCACACACAGTACAATTTCATGTTTGTTTGTTTATATGTGGTGATTTCAGGGATTCATTGTTCCTAGCAATGCCCTTTCCTTAAAATTTTTATCTTTTGCTCATCATGGAATGGGTTTGATGTTTATTTTGCATTAATTTTGATTTTTAAAAAATACTGCATCAAAATACTATTTCTGTTGATCACTGGGTTTTCTGGAAGCCAAGGCAAGTGCTCACATGCCTAACTCACTTTTCATTTCACCAGGGTCTGGCCCTGTGAGTCAGTATGTCTGGTGTGTGGTCATAAGCTGCAATTCTCATGTGTTCTCAGTTGCTGCTTCTGTTGCTGCTGTTGCTGCTGCATAGCCCTTTTGTCTGAGACCCAGACCATTCAACTCCAATTTACGATTGAGACAAACATTTTATTTGCCCCTCTTCATTACTTTTCTCTAAAAATATCTAGCAAAAAATATAATATCACCTTCAAGATGGTCTTGTTCAACAAAAGCTATGTAAATATAATGAGACTGTTTTGTAGATGGTCATCGAAATCAAATTCCAGCAGTGCCGAAGATCTCGTGGGTATTTTTTATTGAAAGATCTTTTCCCTTCAATAATGGACATTTTACATTAAACTTTATACAACCGAAATATCCAAATTATATTAAAATCACACTAAGGTATTTTCATTAAGTCTCAACTTTACTGTCAGTAAAAATATTGTAAGACACTTGTAACTAATGTTTCTGCTTTAAAATAAGCAATTAAAGTAAACGTCACAAGAAGAGACAATACATACTATACATTTGCAGATAACGGGCTAAATGATAATTTAATAGTAATTAATGTTTGTGTAAGAAACAATTGCACTTGAAAAATTAAAAAAGTAAACAAAAAATCCTGTAGTTCTATATATAAGTCTATGAACAGAGGTTAATCATCTATAACCTTGCCAGGAGACGTGTATATTTGTTTAAAAAAAAATGAAAAAAAAAAAAAAGCTTGCATTTAACATAGTAATCATTCATTTAAAAAAAAGTCTTACTTTTTATATGCTTTTACAGAATTTCCCCATAGTTTGTTGCTCAGAAAACTGCAACACAACTAAAGCAAAATAACACTTCCTTGGTATTTAGTGCAAATTTGGGGTGATTTTGAAATGAAATGTTAAACATGTACTGTTTAGAAGCTGTTAGAAGTAAGTACTGTAACTGCCCTTTAGTATACTCTTCTTTTAAAGACTTTGGTGGAAAAATTTTAACTGAGGTATTTCGCCTACTTTGTACGGGCACAGTGATATCCGAGCCAATACAAAGCTGACACATCTACCATTCTTTGTTACTGCTCTTACTTCACCTGTTCCCTGCCATTATTGGGATAACGTCCAAAGCTGACAGGATGAAAGAAAAAGTCAATTCAGAAGAATTACCGTAGCATTATCATTCCAGGGCTCTAGGTGGAAAGATTCCCATTAAAAAGTGTTATATTAGTGAGGAAATCATTGGAACTAACAAATGCCTACACATAAGACTTAGAAATGAACATTAGTGTGGAAGACGTGCAGTGAAATACTAATTGCTTGCCGTAGCAATAAAAAAAAGTTACATTGATTTTTAACAGTCTGAAGGTCCAGTATATATAATATTAAATCCAACTTGCAAGAGTACAACTATCCACTTGACCACACATGCCAGCTGCTACAGTGGGGCTGAGCCATCATTTCTAGAAAGAAAATAGTTTCTATATTGTCAATAACTTTGCTGTCATCCTTTAAGGTACACGGTAGAATAACAGCATACTGCATATTGCGCAAGCATAAAGGAAAGTAATGATGGATACTAAGAAAGTATGTTTTTGTAGGAGAAGAAAAAGGATATAATTTCCTCTGCATAGAGCAAAGGATTTGTACCTATATTTTGGATAAGAATCTAAGAAAAGGGGAATATGCCAACACTATGAAATAGAAGGTTAGCACCAGCAATATGTGAGTTTGCCGGTATGTCTATGTTTCATGTAAAGTAAATTTAGGGAACTAAAAGTAAATATATGTGGCTTTTAAACCGCCAAGTCCCTTCTTTGAATGTACATGTGTATGATAATAAAAAGGCCACTTAACACTCAGATGTTTTTTAAAGGTAGCAAGGTGAATGCTCAAAATTAGAAATGCTACTGGACATTTGACTCTAAATATGAATTACTCAACTACAATAGTAAAGAAAAGACTTTCTGCAGGAAGTCCTTATTATAAAGGCTCCAAATCTTGGCTTTCTGTTAATTTTCCCTGAAGACCAAAGGGAATTTTCAAACATGTAATGCCAATAACCTGTTGTTTCTTGTAATAAATGGCTGGCTTGGGGCGTTATTTTTCCCATCTCACTGGTCCTTTTTGAGGGAATGAGGCTCCCCTTCAGAGTCTGAAAAACTAGATTACATTAGGATCAGTGTTTCCCAAAGTTCTTAACCTTTGGGATCTATCAGAATTTATCTGAAGAGATTTTGCCAGAATACATATTCCTGGCCCAGTCCCCACAGGCTCTGATTCAGTAGGCCTCGGAGGGAGCCTACACATCATAAGAACCGCTGCCCTACAGGGAGATTCTCAGAGACAGAAAGGGAACTTGAAGCTCTGATCTAGAATTTCCTTTCTTCACTACATTAAATTAAAATCTTCTCTAGGAGCCAACTGGGCCAAATGCTTCACATGTCCTTAAGGAGGGTATGGGAATAATGGGGCCTCACACTGTGAATGGATGTGCCTTCTGTATTACAGCTCCAGAGTAGGGAAAACTCATGAAAACTAACATGGGCACAGTTGGGAGCCAGAATGTTCCTTGTGATTCCCAGTTACTCACTGCATTCAGGAGAATGGGCATTCTTGCTTTTAGCTATATATGATCCTTTCACCACTACTGCAGAAAGGATAAACATGCCCAAACATAGGGTAGAGTAAATGTTTTGGACAAAGAAAATTAGTGTGTAGAATCAAAAAAACCATTACAAAAGGTTGGCAAAAGTACATGTTCTGAATGGTGTGTGGGTGAGTGTGTGTGCAAGGCCATGGAATGGGCATGGCAGGCTCTCATGAGGAGTTCTTAGCTTAGAGATTTTGCTTCATGTGGTCCTGTGGACAGAATTTTCTCTCGAGAACTAGGAGGAGCTCAAGGCACCAGGACCTAGGGTTGTGCAAATCCACTCTTTACAATGAACACCACCAGTTCAGTTTCTCGACATTATTTTAGAGCCTATAAAACATGCTTCTTTTCCCTAGCTTGATTTCATTATCCCATATAAAAAATAAATTAAAAAAAGGGCAAGAGAGGAGCCAATAACTGGCAGTAGGGATGGGTGAGAGTCACTCTTTACTTAATGATCTGTGGGCAGTCACTCCAAGCCTTTGCTTTCCTTTTGGCCAAAGCCAGCCAGGCTGGTTCTGTTGACACAGGGGCAGCATCCGGGGTGGAGAACCTCTTGGTGACTTCTTTCACCAGTGGTGCTGGGGGAGCCGAATCAGAGATCTCCACTGGGTTTTGTTTTGAAGAAAAAGGAAAAAGGAGTAAGTTCAGAGCCACATTACAAACTTTTTTAAAATTAATAAACCATATTTGTCATGTATAACATTATGTTTTGAAATACACATACACTGTGAAATGGTTAAATCTAGCTAACTAAAATATACAAAACCTCACAGTTATCATTTTTGCAGTGAGAGTATTTAAAATCTACTCTCTTAGGTCTAGGTCTCTTGAATTTATTCCTCTTATTTAACTGAAATTTTGTATCCTCTGATGAACATCTCTCTAACACCCCCCACCCCAGCCATATTCTGATTTATCAGAAGTGTGAGACTGGAAAAAGAAAACCCAGTGAAACACAGAGAAGCAAGTTCCTGGACCTCCTCAGTGAGGAGAATGAAGGAAAGCAAGCTATGTGGTTATAACTCTTGCATGCAGAATTACAACAACCAAGATGTAGTCAGCTCTAATTTCAAAGAATTTCCAGAGGCCTAATCTGTATACAGAAGCTATGCCTGCATGATAACCAGTCAATTCCATGAAGAAAAATATCAACCCAGAGGTCTGGATCTATCAAGCTGGTAAGGTTAATAGCTACCTTCCTGGCTGGGCACGGTGGCTCATGTAATCCTGTAATCCCAGTACTTTGGGAGGTCAAGGTGGGAGGATCACTTGAGGTCAGGAGTTTGAGACCAGTCTGGCCAACATGGTGAAACCCCATCTGTACTAAAAATAAAAAAGTAGCTAAGCTTGGTGGCAGGTATCTGTAACCCCAGCTACTCAGGAGGCTGAGGCTGGAGAATCACTTGACCCCTGAGGCGGAGGTTGCAGTGAACCCAGGTTGCACCTCTGCACTCCAGCCCAGCTGAGAGTGAGACTCCATTTAAAAAAAAAAAGCTCCCTTCCCCACAAAAGCATCCACTGGGTGCCTCTACCTCTGAGTCTCACAGATGCTGCCAGCTCCCATGACTTTCATCCTTGTCTCACAGTTCCTTTGCACTGTATCACTTTCTTTACTAGAGCGTATAGGCTTCTTAACGTGAGAAGGTGCTTATCTTATCTTTGGGTCATATTTAGTGCCTATGGCAACGGCTTACACATATGCTTCTAGAACTCAGGAAATACTGAGAAGACAAATACTTCAGAACAAAAACTTGCTTTATTAAGCTCGAGCCACTCCAAGTTGCATTAACCCTTTAGTACTTCTGAGAAATCAGGCAGAGAAAGATGTGGCCTCTTTGACTTTGGGACTTTCACTGTATTTTGAAAGAAATTCATTCTCTCTCTCTTTCTCTCTCTAGTTCTAAAAGGCAGAACTCTTAATTCCTATGAGTAAAATCAAACGACAAAATGCCTATGAGGTTCTTAAGAAATTACACAGTATTCTAAAGTGGTTTTCAAATATAAAGCTTTGGGCCAGGCGGTGGCTCATGCCTGTAATCCCAGCACTTTGGGAGGCTGAGGTAGGTGGATCACTTGAGGTTGGAGTTCCAGATCAGCCTGGCCGACATGGTGAAACCCTGTCTCTGCTAAAAATACAAAAATTAGTCGGGTGTGGTGGCGTGTGCCTGTAATCCTAGCTACTTGGGAGGTTGAGGCAGAAGAATTGCTTGAACCCAGGAGGTGGAGGTTACAGCGAGCTGAGATTGTACCACTGCACTCCAGCCTGGGCAACAGAGTGAGACTCTGTCCCAAAAAAACAAAACAAAAAAACAAATATAAAGCTTCCCCACTTCACCAGTAGTAAATATATCTTTTTTTTTTTTTGAGACAGAGTCTTGCTCTGTTGCCCAGGTTGGAGTGCAGTGGTGCAATCTCAGCTCACTGCAACCTCCACCTCTCAGGTTCATGCGATTCTCCTGACTCAGCCTCCCAAGTAGCTGGGACTACAGGCGTAAGCCACTGTGCCAGGCTAATTTTTGTATTTTCTTTTTTAGTACAGATGGGGTTTCACCATGTTTGGCCAGGCTGGTCTTGAACTCCTGACCTTGTGAGGAGTTCCCAAAGTGCTGGGATTACAGGCATGAGCCGCTGCACCCAGCTGGTAAATATATCTTTAATAGTGAGACCTCTTAATATTTCCTGACCTCAGACAGCCAAGGCATAGAAAAGCCTAGGTCTAGAGATTAGATGCCCTTTGGGGAATAGTGTAGCCTGGGGGGAAGAAACAGATGCCCTATTAACCCCTGGGAGGGAGCTTGTTCAGAGTCATCCATCCTCCAAGTGATTGGTAATAAGGAGATAGTTGGATACTATCAGATCATTTTACCTTTTAACCCAATAAAGAATATTTTCTAAATGTGCACATCTCTTACATGTTATGAACATATGAAAACTGCTGTTGTTAATTAATATCAAGGATGCCGTGCTGAGAAACCTTACTCTGTAAAGCCACATACTATCAGAAACCTGCTGTGTGAAATCACATCAGTGAGAAGAGACCATCTCACTTTTGCCTGGAGCATCTGAACCACATGTCACCATGACACAGAGATGCAGTTTCCATTTCCAACCTGGGTGCGGAGCTCTGGGTAGCAGTTTTCAGATACAACATTTTACACATTCCTCTTTTCTGTTTTTGAGATACTCTGTAGCTCAGGCTGGGGCACAGTGGCATGATCTCAGCTCACTGCAACCTCCACTTCCTGGGCTCAAGCAATCCTCCCACCTCAGCCTCCCAAGTAGGTGGGACTACAGGTGTGCACCACCACACCGGGCTAATTTTTGTATTTTTAGCTGACACGGGGTTTTACCATGTTGCCCAGGCTAGTCTTCAACTCCTGGAATCAAGCGACCTGCCTGCCTTGGCCTCCCAAAGTGTTGGGATTACAGGTGTGAGCCACCACACCTGGCCTATATTTATCTTTCTTTCCTGTATTATATATATATATAGAGAGAGATATACATATATAATCATACTTGTATATATTTTGGGGGTGCATGTGGTGTTTTGATATATGTAAATAATGTGTAATGATCAATCAGGGTAAGTGGATATCCATGACCTCAAACATTTCACACATTTATCTTAACTTTGTAGTTTTAAAGGAAACAGGACCCTGAGCACACTTTTCAGCTCAGTCTTGGTATTATCTCCTTTATGTTTATGTACACGCTGACTTTGCTTTGAGCTTATTAAAATGCTACTCCATTTAAATTTTACCTAAACTTCACTTTTTACCCCAAGTCCTACTATAATTTTGTCTCCTCCCTTGTTTAGAAGGTTCTTCGATAAGTTAATAAACCCAACTTTGTCAGAATATAGGCAGTGGGTGCTGGAGATGCTCATACTGCTGTGCCAAATGTTCACAAATGTAGTGAGCCAGTTGACATCACACTGGTATAAGACCTTTGAAGTGGCCATGGTGGGAGTATTTACACTATGAAAAACTGAAGATCCTCCAAACAGAAGTCTCTCTATCCCCTGAAGAGCTAACTGTTAAGTATTCACCAACTCACCACTGATAGTGGGTTCCTGGTGGTCTTTATCAGATGAGCTTAATCAGTGTCAACATTTATGAATGAGGTTATGAGACAGCCTGTGCTTTGAAATGCCTGAGGTGCTCGGCCAGTCATTATACTGTAGGATAGAAAGCATGCTCTATGAAGAGAAACCTGGAACTACAGTTAAAAAGCAATGGACCTGCCCTCTACCTGTCACAGACGTAGGAAGTGTGTTGGCCTTTTTCAGCTGTTCTCTGCGCTCAAGCCTGGACACTGCAGTCTCGGGCCTCTTCTCTTCCGGTGGAGCAGACTTGTGCAGGGAACCTGCTCTGCTGACACTGCTGCTTCCAGGCTGCGGGTTGACACTGACCTGCATGTGCAGAGACAGTCATGGAAAGCATGTTTTCAACCTAAGACATGGAAAGACTGACCCTGCAGGCCTTCAGGGCTTCTGCCTGCCAGAACGGTGGGCTGGATTACACTTATGAGCCATGTATGTTCAACCCTGGCTACCGGTGAGGGAGCAACTCAGAGCCAGTGTGCCTAACAGGGGAAGTTACTTTCCCAGAAGAGCCCCATCAAACTGACTATAACATCAGGCCACAGAACAAGGCCCGTGGTTTCCTTGTGAAATGTCTGTGTTTTTCATATAACTGTTATATATCACTGCTGTGAGCACATCATGGATTATGGCAAATCAGGTTAACCTAAGAGCATAAAGAAACCAAACCCAATTTCACACTGAAAACGCTTCCCTGGTTTAATGGTGGTCAGTTTATTTACTGACCCTCTCTAAGTATTTTCCACCACCCCAGCTAGCCTTTTGTTTTGTATCCTTGTGACTGAAAAGAGAGCCAAGCACAAGAAGGCAGAATCACAGCTGAAGCCCAGGCTACTCACATTTTCTTTGGAGAACTTTTCCGCCTGTTTGACCTCTCTGGCTTGCTTCCTCTCCTCCCGCGTTGCCTGCTGCTCCCGAAACCCCTTTTGCTTTTGCAGTGCTAACGTTATCCACAGCGGCTGCGCAGTTTCCACTTTCTCTGTAAGTTTGGAGCCATCTAAAGAGTGCCTGCTCTGAAGCATCGGCTTTTCTGTGTGGAAAAAGACAAAGGCCGGTTTGCAGTGAACTTAATTGCTGACTTATCTCAGTTCTGCACCCTCTAAAACTTGTGACATATTAATAAGCCTATGGCATATTCAGCGGCCCCTTACTAGCACAAGCTCTGCGCTGACGCCTGAGTGGCTCCACTGGGTGGGAAGGTAACATGTTTCATCACTGGAAAAGCAAGGGCATTTGTCTTCCTTAGAAATGAAAGAAGTTACTCTGTTAGAAAAAACTAAAATAAATCTCCAGGGTCCTAAAAGCTCAGGCCTCTATGGGATCCAGATAGGTATTTGGTTCATTTTTGATTCATTGTTGTTCCTTTTTTAATTCATTCCCTTTTTTCTTTTTGAGGCAGTCTTGCACTGCCACCCAGGCTGGAGCAGTGGTGCAATCTTGGCTCACCGCAACCTCCGCATCCTGAATTCAAGCAATTCTCCTACCTCAGCCTTCTGAGTAGCTGGGACTACAGGTACCCACCACCACACCTGGCTAACTTTTATAATTACAGTAGAGATGGGGTTTCACTATGTTGGCCAGGCTGGTCTCGAACTCCTGACCTTAAGTGATCCACCCGCCTTGGCCACCCAAAGTGCTATGATTACAGACGTGAGCCACTGCGCCCGGCCCTGATTCACCGCTTTAAATGAAATTTATTCTTAGCCATGGAACCATTATTCTCCCTCAATCAAAGAATATACAAAGTTCTGGGACTATAGGTGTGAGCCACCATGCCTGGCCCGAAAGCATTTATAGCGCAAGCACACAGGGATTATCATTGCTGTTTTAATCCCACCAGGTAAATTCAGAGTGAACAATCTCCAAGCCTATGTATCTGTCTTCACTGGCTCCAGCCTTGTGAATGCAGACCTCTTTATAAAGCACTGGTCTCCAAAAAAGGTTGCGTATGTCAAAGGAAATGTGCAAGGCAATTCACCGGAGTGAAAAAATAAAGATTAGAATTTCTATTTCTCTATTTTTAAATGTAAAGATAAAAACAAAATCAAGCTTTTCTTTTTTTTTTTTCTTTTTTTGAGACAGGGTCTCACTCTGTCACCCAGGCTGGAGTGCAGTGGTGAGATCACAGCTCACTGCAGCCTTGACCTAGTAGGCTCAAGCAAGCCTCCCATCTCAGCTTCTCAAATAGCTGGGACCACAGGTGTGTGTCATGCCCAGCTAATTATCGTATTTTTGGTAGAGTCAGGGTTTTGCCACGTTGCCAGTCTGGTCCTGACTTCCTGGTTGGCTCAAACAATCTGCCCACCTCGGCCTCCAAAAGTCATGGGATTAAAGGCATGAACCACCGCGCCTGGCCACAAATCAAGCTTTTCTAATACTTAGTACCCCATCTGGCGGTGACCCCTTAGCCCATATATTCAAAAGCCATGTATAACAAATGCTATGTTTAAAGAATCTTGAGGGAGGCTGGGAAAGCTATGTGAGGCTGCATGCGGTGGGGGCTTTTTGTTTTCAGTGGTTCTTGCATTTAGCATACTGGGCGATTCTGTAGTTTGGTGAGTTTATGTCTCCTTTTAACTAAATGATCCCTTACACAATGGACAAATGGCATACGGCATAAAGAGAGTCCTGCAGACAATATACTACTACTAATGCAAGTATGAAAAAATAGCAGTCCTGCCTGCAACTTAAAGAAGACATCAGGTCCAACAAGCAATTGGCCAAAGAGAATAAAAAAATAGCACCATGGGCCGGGCGCGGTGGCTCACGCCTGTAATCCCAGCACTTTGGGAGGTCGAGGCGGGCGGATCACCAGGTCAAGAGATCGAGACCATCCTGGCCAACATGGTGAAACCCTGTCTCTACTAAAAATACAAAAATTAGCCGGGTATGGTAGCGTGTGCCTGTAGTCCCAGCTACTTGGGAGGCTGAGGCAGGAGAATTGCTTGAACCCGGGAGGCGGAGGTTGCAGTGAGCCGAGATTTTGCCACTGCACTCCAGCCAGGCGCCTGGCGATAGAGTGAGACTCTGTCTCAAAAAAAATAAATAAATAAAAATAAAAAAAAATAGTACATGATTTGCAATTGCAGATTTATATCCACTGCTGTTAAGTGTAAGTATAGCTGGTGCTCCAGGGGTTTTAGCTAACAATGGTACTACATGTATATAATCAACAAATAAATTGGAGGTCCATGCTCAACATTTTTATCCTGATGGGGTGTTCAAACAAATTTGGTCAGCCCTGTCCTACAGCAGCAAGCTGCACAACAAAACCCCAGTGTACGGAGGCAGTGGTCCTTGTTTTCATGCTTTTTCTTTATGGAATCAAGAAAAATTCAAATAGCAGAGTGAGGCAGCCCAGAATCTGAATACTGGGAAGGAAAACAGGGACAGTAATTGATTTGGGGAGAAAATTATAATAATTAGGGGACAACCCTAAGAGAAAGAAGTGAGCAGAAGCCTGACTTCTTTGGAGAAGGCAAGTGACAGGGCAGACCAGGCTGTGAGAATCTGTCGATGCCATGAAAGCCAGTGCCACAAAAGCTAATGGCAAAACCAGAAATGGGCCGCTCATCCAGCAAGACAAAGAGAAATCATTCGGGAGAAATGGTCTAGAAACTGCTGATCTGCCTGTCTGTCCAGGACACCGGGTCAGGCAGCGAAGCATTTAAAAAGGACAAGCCGGGTGCAGTGGCTCAAGCCTGCGGTTCCTCCTACCAGGAGGCTGAGGCAGGACGGATACATGACCCCAGGAGTTCCAGACCAGCCTGGGCAACATAGGAAGTCCCTGTCTCTAGATAATAATAATAAACAAACAATAAAATGAAAAGAATGTGTGTGGTCTTTTGTAAAGGCAAGTAACCAGACCAACACGCTGCAGGAAACAAATCATTTCTCTGCAAAAATCGTCCCAAATCTAAACACTGGAACAAAGGAGAAAATGATCCCTCCCAAGAAAACCTCAGGGGACAATTTCTCTGGGAAATGTGAAGAACTTTTGGCTTTGACCCATATTTTACCTCCTCTACTCTGCATAACAGAAAAGAAAAAGTAGTAGATGAAGGTTCTCTGGGGGCACAAAAGCTAATCCAACTGACAGCTTTGCTGACCCAAACATTTAATCTGAAGAAACATCAGAGTCCGCCAGAGGTAAGGCTTGTTTCAAAATTTCTTTGTAGGAGGGCTCTGCAGTAACAGCTGGGGGAATGGAGGAACACAAGGCTGCATCTGCAGAGCATTTTATATAAAATGGAGACAGTCAATTATCCCATAGAGAGGATCCATAGGTCTGATGGAGACATCTAACAACCCCTAACCTGCCACCACGGTGTCACTATTGCCCAGAGACACAGCAAGGGCACTGGTCAGGGATACTCCAGTTTTGTCATCACTGCAAGGACCCCTTCAAAATAGTTAATGACATCTTCAGTCATAGGGACTATTATTTCAATTTCTACTGCCAGTAGAAAAGGCATTCATCTAAGTGTTGGCACCTTGTGTAAATAAGTATCATTATCAAGAGTGAACTGCAGTCACATTACAGAGTCGGTCAGCATTTCCCAAATTTGAAAGAATGAGTGAGAAGTAAAGGGCCTTACTATGACTCATGAGTGAGTGTCTTTTGGAAATCCCACACCAGCCTCTCATTAATGAAGGTGTGTCCAACACCAACTCCACTGGCTACCTCTGGCATTGGGCACTTCTGGTTCTAGCAGTGACGCAGACAATAAGCTGAGCAGACAAGGAGAGCAAAGACCACTTGGTGACCATCAAACAGACCATCCAGAGGCAAATCTCCTTACCTGGGGAATTCACAATGAAACTTCCCTAGTATCTAACACAGGCATTTGGTTCCAGGCCTTTCAGCTTTTATAACTAGAATGTCTAGACATCTCTGGAATGCCATGCCAAAACTCATTTTGCCACCCCTGTTGATATTAAGGCGCCAAAATGTCTACAAATGTAATCTCTTTTTTTTTGAGACGGAGTTTCACTCATGTTACCCAGGCTGGAGTGCAATGGCGCGATCTCGGCTCACCGCAACCTCCGCCTCCTGGGTTCAGGCAATTCTCCTGCCTCAGCCTCCTGGGTAGCTGGAATTACAGGCACGCACCACCATGCCCAGCTAATATTTTTTTGTATTTTTAGTAGAGACGGGGTTTCACCATGTTGACCAGGATGGTCTCGATCTCTTGACCTCGTGATCCACCCGCCTCGGCCTCCCAAAGTGCTGGGATTACAGGCTTGAGCCACCGCGCCCGGCTACAAATGTAATCATTTAGCATGAATTTCGTGGCCAATGTGACCCAAATTGCCCTTCCAATTACCCTTAAGCTCCCGACTTAAGGTTACATTGCTTTACTAACAAAACTTTCCTTTTTCAAACCTGTATTGTTGTTGGTAAATTACTCTCTGCGGACCTCCTTTTTTTTTTTTGAAACGGAGTCTCGCACTGTTGCCCGGGCTGGAGTGCAATGGCACAATCTCGGCTCACTGAAGCTTCTGCCTCCCTGGTTCAAGCAATTCTCCTGCCTCAGCCTCCCGAACAGCTGGGATTATAGGCACGTGCCACTGCGCCCAGCTAAATTTTGTATGTCTAGTGGATCCTGACCTCGTGATCCGCCCGCCTCAGCCTCCCAAAGTGCTGGGATTACAGGCGTGAGCCACAACGCCCGGCCGGACCTCTTCTTGATGCCCGGCTCTGACACCTCGCCCGGCAGCAGTTTCCCACCCTGCAGCTACCTACCTTTCCTCCCGGCCTCGGGCGTTTGGGAAGGTTTCACTTGATGAGCGGCAGGCAGAGGTGGGGAAGGAGGTTTCCTCTTTGTCACCTCTTCCTCCTCGTCCCTCTTCTGTCCCTTCCTTTCCTCGTGGCCTGGGGGCGAGGGTGGCCGGTGATCACTGCTCTCCTGGCCCTCCTTGGACGGCTCACTTGGCTCTGGGTCCGGCCTCCCCGCTCTGCGAGACAGCAGCTCTACCAAGTAGGGCCTGCTCAGTTTGGAAAGTGGGGATGCCGGTGGGGTCTGACTGGTGGGCTTGGGAGCCAGTGCTGGCTTCTGTGCCAATGGCATTTTGTTTGTCGCCTTGTCATGCTCTGGAGCCGGGGTCTGGCTGCTAGCCGGTGGGGGCCCAGGCTGGGCCACAGGAGGAGAGCGTCTGCTGGGAGGTTCAGCGGAGTCCCTTCGGATGGAGGGGGCTTGCTTCCGATCCTGGGGGAGGGATGGGCCATGCTTGATGGACACACCCTCCGTCTCTTTCTCTCCACCCGCGCTCCCCACTGCGGGCGGCCCTGCATCCACGCTGTCTCCGGTGCTGCTGTGCCTCTTCTTTTTCTTCTGTTCGGCCTGTTGGTCGCAGTTGAAGCGCAAGGAGTAGTTGGTCCTTCTCAGTTTTATTCCAAACGGGGAGGTTTTTTCCTCCCCACCTGGCATCACAGGGTCTGGCTTTGCTATCACGTTTGTGGTCTCGCTGTCCGATGAGGTCGCGGACTCTGTGTGGGCCACGACTTTCTGCGGAGGGTAAGGAAGGCTTGGGACAAGGAAAGACGGGAGGTCTTTGGCAAATTTGCATCCCTCGGTGGTGTCTGCGGGCTCCTGGTGCAACTCCGACTTCTCCGGACCCTTCCCGAACTCGCGAACACCAGCAGGAGGAGACTGGGGGGCTGTCTCTTCGCCGGGTCCCAGCAGGGTTTTTTTTCGAATGCCTTCCGCTTCCGTGTTCTGTCTGGAGGTCTCCGTGCCACCATCGGAGAATTTCTGCCAGGCAGGCTTAATAGAGAACTTTGCATTGACTGGCGGGGTCTTCCGGAGGTTCCCGCGGGAATCACACCGGCCCCTGGGAGTGGGCTCCTCTCCGGGCATCGATGGCTCCCTCTCGCTGCTGCGCGGGTCATTCTCTGCGTTCTTCAGGATTCTGGACCGAATGGAAGCCCATTCTGCGAGCGCAGCCGCGCTGCTGGGAGGCTCCTGCGGGGGCTTGGCCTTCCCGCTGCCAGTCCGAGCGTCGCCGGGGCCTCGGGGAGGGTTCTCCGCAGCGGGGGTGTCCGCGTGCCTCTTCTCCTCCGACAAGCCCAGGAGCGACTTACAGGCGGTGTCCTTGATCTGGCTCAGGTTGACGGCCGGGCCGCAGAGCTGCGCGCCAGTGACCAGAATGGCTGTGTGGGGGACACTCAGGGACGAGGGCAGGACGTGTGCAGCCGGGCTGGCTTTGGGGGCCTTTGGTTCCTGGGGGGCAGCTGTGGGCCCCGTGTCCTTTGCGGGCGTCACAGGGCTCAGGTTGACTTTGGGGAAGAGAATCTGCTTCCCCCCGGAGGACACCTGGAACGTGTAGGGCCGGGGCATACTCTGCCTCTCGTCCACCTCCTGCCACCGCAGCTCCTCCACCTTGCGGCCTTGTGCAGGAACGGCGGCTTCTTTCCTCTCCACCCGAGGCTGCGCAGCTTCCACGGTCCCCTCTGGTTTCGGAGGAGGCTCCGTGTCCCCTTCTGTCTCTTCCTCGGGCCCAGGATGATCAGGCCCCTGGACATCCCCGCTCCCTCCCTGCTGCTCTCTTGCCCTCTGGGCCTCTGGGTTCTGCTCCTCGCAGATGCTTGGGTCCTCGGAGTGCTCTCTTTGTCCTTCGGGTTTTGGGTGTTCCTGTTCTTCTGGGCTCTCCTCAAAGTCGCTCAGAAGTGCGCTGAGCTGGTCCCTTTCGGCCTCCAGGTGCGCCTGGCCCTGCTCTTCCTCCCCTTCCTCCTCTTCCTTCAGATCCTCCTCTTCCGGGCCCTGCCAGGCCTCCCCAAACTCCTCCGCCGCCTCGGGCGGCCCCTGCACCTCCTCCTGCTGTTCCAGCTCTTCCCTTCGCTCGGCCTCCTCCTCTTCTTGCCTTCTGAGCTCCTCCGCGTGCCTTCCTTCCTCCTCCTCCTGCCGCCTCCGCTCCTCCAGCCTGGCGTCCTCCTCCAGCCGCCGCTCCTCCTCGGCCTCCAGGCGCTCACGCTCCTCCCGCTCCCTCCGCTCGGCGTCCTCCCAACTAGGCGCTTCCAGGCTCCGCCGCTGCTCTTCCCGCGGCGCCCTTTCCGCCTCTAGCGGCGGCTCCTGCCCCTCGCCCTCCTCCTCCAAGAGCTCCTGCCTCTTGTTCTCTTCCCAAAGCCTCCTCTCCAGCGCCTGCAGCCTCTGCTCCTCCAGGCGTCTCTTCTCGGCGGCTTCCGCCTTTTGCCGCTTGCACTTGGCCTCCAGTTCTCGCCAGTAGTCTTCTTGGCGTCGTCTCTCTTCCTCGGAATCTTGCGGATTGGGTTCCTCTTCGTGCCACGTTGGCTTGTCCTCGCCTGGGTGTCCGTTCTGGTCCAGGGGGGCCCGACTCTCAAGGCCCCCTTGCTCATGCTGTGGATCCTAGCATTGGGAAGGGAAACACAATTAGCTTTTTGCTTTCTCCGCCCACAGCTGTTCCTCTTCCTAGTCACAGCGCCAGCGGCCCTCTTAATGTCTCAAGAACACTTGGAAGCAGGTGTTCTCAAGTTCAGGAATAGCGAAACTCAGGCATCGGTCACCCCATGCAAGAGTCAGTCGTGGGAATGGAGGAAAGGGCGGGTATTCTGTTTTCCCCTCCAGCTCCTTTATTTGTTGTTCCCTAATTCCTCTTCTTAATATGAACAAACAAGGAAAACCAATATTCCAGCATTAGATAGATGAGCAAAAAGAGACTGCGACTTCATCATTGTCCCCTGAAGCCTGTGACTTGGAAGCCTACCCTAGTCAAACTGAGGGAGTGTTGGCTAAACCACTTTCCACTGCAAAGCAAACACAACGGGTCTGGAGCCCCTCAAAAGGCAGCCTCTCCCTCTAAGTCCACCGGGCTCATGCCAGAAAGGGCGAGGAAAGTAAGCAGGCCTCCGTGTCCCACAACACTGTCACACACTCAAGTTCCCGATGGGGAGACACCCAGGTCTTTCCATGGCTCCACCCCAATGCCAACCCACTTGTAGAATTAGCACCCAGTGAGCAAGGGCACCTGCCTGGTCAGCCCAGGCAGGCTCTACCCACCTGGGCAAGGCGCCTGTGCTTCTTTGACACCCTCTGGTTTTTTGGCTTCACAGCCAGCTTGTGCTTGGCGGCGCTGTTGTCCAGGCGAGCGATGGCCAGGGGGATGGCATCTAAGTTGACACTTTCGATGGTGCCAGCAGAAGAGAAGTGCCTCTTTGGCCGAGACGGTTTAACAGGAGCAGCCTAGAGGGGAGATTAAAATGGAAAGTCAATTGGGATCGGAAGACAAATCGGCAGGGAATCCCAGAAAGGCAGCACTCATTCCAGTCTGTGCCTTGCCCAGCCTGGCCCAGGGAATGCAGGTGAGCAGAGGGAACTCCTCAGAAGAATAAATGAACACTTGTTTTGGAACCAAAGGACACTGACTGTTTGTTCCACCAGCATCCACTGGTGTTAACTTGTAAGAGTCATTTAACCTTTAGGAACTAATTTTCCTGCTTTGACTAGTACGAGTTCAGAGCAGCTCAGAGATTAGCAAAACATAGCCAGGAGGCCAAATCCTGCCCACGGCCTGTTTTGGAAAATCAGAGTTTTACTGGGCCACAGCCACACCCATTGTCTTTGGTGGCTTTGTGTGCTAAGAAGAAAGAGTGGCACAAAGGAGAGTACTTGTGGCTTCATGTCACAAAGCCTAAAATAACGAGTAGTTTGCTGACCCCTGCACTAGCTCGCCTCTGTGCTAAGAACTGTTGAACTCTCAGACACTGTATACATGCCTCAGCTCCTACACAGGACCTCAGTCCCTTTGAGACCAGGAATGTGTCTTTTTTCCACCTTTGCATGGATCCCTTTTATGCCCACGTAGCAAACCTCATTTGGTCAGTACTCAGTAAATATTTGTTGAAGGAATGAAGGAAAATAAAGTATAACATCTATGCCTCAAACATGAAATTCCCGATCAGCAAAAATGTTTTGCTATGGCTGGGTGTGATGGCTCACACCTATAATCCCAGCCCTTTGGGAGGCCAAGGCGGGCAGATCACTTGAGTCCGGAGTTTAAGACCAGTCTGGCCAACATGGCAAAACCCCATCTCTACTAAAAATTTAAAAAATAATAAATTAGCTTGGCACAGTGGTGCACACCTATAATCCCGGCTGTGGAGGCTGAGGCATGTGAATTGCTTGAACCCGGGATGCGGAGGTTGCAGTGAGCTGAGATCACTAAGCTGCACTCCAGCCTAGCCCACAGAGCAAGACTGTCTCAAAGAAAAAAAAAAGTTTTGGTACAATCACTCCAAAGAAGTCTCAGGGTACTGAGTGCACTGAGAAGATAAAAGGAAGAGGGACCTGATAAGAAAAATGAATGGCAAAAATCTGCCACAGGGACAAGTGCGGTCCTTCAAAGGATGAATTGTGGAATGGCCTGCAGCTCTAGAATACAGATGCAATCACTAAAAAAACACAACCTCAGATGAAGTGCAGATTTGGAAAGATCAGAGAGAGTGTGACGCAGCCCAAACCCAGAGACCATACTAATCAGAATGTAGGAAGCCACGCCTATACCTACAGAGAATTCACAGGCTGGCAGCAGGCAAAGGGCTGCTGGCCATACAATGCCAGAGTGCCGCAGGGGGAGCGACGCCAGCACCTCAGCTGTGGCCAGGGTGTATCTGTTCCTGCCGTAAGCATGGAGTGGTGAGGTTTAGCGGAAGGGCTCCCTTTTTGCAATTATCTTCTATATTGATGCACAAAAGATGAAAGACCAAGCAGCTAGCTCTAAGAGCAAAATAGATGCTCAGTACATATTAATTTATGACAAGAAGCACAGAAAAATCAGCCTTTGGCCTACTAGCTTTCATTTATTCAGGGTTATCTTTATAATAGGTATCAAATTTTGAGCTATTGCTAAATTAAACATTTGTTTCCATCCCCTAATAGATGCATGAGAAAAAGGAGTCAGAGCCAAATGTGACAGATTGAAGACGTAGATAAGCACTTGACACTGAGATTTAAGTGCTGTGCTGTTTCTAGTTATCACAGCTGGCTTCCTCATTGTCTGGACGGCAGCACTGTCTTGAGCCATTCCCTTCTTCGGGAGCAGATCCTGCTTCCTATACTGTCTGCCAGGCCTTGGGAGGCTGCCTGGCCCCTTGTGCAGATGAAAGGTCCTCACTGGAGCAGATCGGCTCCTACAGAAGAGGTGCCCAGGGAAGAAGGGTCTGCAGGGTTCTTACACTCCTGCAGGTAAAGTCCCAGGTTTAAAAAAAGGACACAGAAAAGTTTAAAAAAACAAACAAACATAAAAGTAGAGAGATGCTGAAGTGCTTTTTTGTCCTGTCTCTCTAGATATAAGAGGACTCTTTTCCCTACAGACTGGAGTTGGGGTATTCTGGAATGCCTTTCTCAATCTACTAACAGGGTCTTGAAGTACATGATCCTTTGAGGAAAGCTACCAACTTCTAGGACCCCAAACGCAGGCATGCTGGAAGTATGGCTAGTTTCCAGAGGAGTGTTCAGGTCCAGCAGTTGCCTTGCCATGGAAACACATGCTCCAACATCTATCACTGGTGGCATTTTGAAGGAATTTAAATATATGAAGGCAACAGTTATGAATGGAAAATAAGGCAGCAGGTTGCAAAAAAAAAAAAAAAGGAAGATCAAAGTTAAGTAAGGAAAGAAGCTAAATAAATAAGTTCAAATCATATTACCTTCTCTTCCATCTCACTTCCAGCTCCAGGGAGATTCAGAGGACTTAGAGAACTTGGCGTATCACTGGACTGGAACAGTAAGAGAGCATTCAAGTCAAAGGCCTGAACAGGAAGTTCTGGGCAAATAACCAGACACTGTCTGTGCCTGGGTAGGGCCGCCCCCTCCTCCACACAGGGGTGCAGCTGGCCTCAGAGAGCCAGCAGGAGTCCCAGCAGGGACTATGCTAATATCAAAACTCCATGGGCACTACCTGAGGCACAGAGGGTGCAGCAGCCTCTCCCCGAGCTCAACGTGTTTCCCACCTGGGTGGTCCCCAGTCTTGGTCCTTTGTGTTTTTCTCCATTGCCTGAGAGAATGTGAGTAGCTCAACAGCCACTTTCCTTGGGGTGCAGGGCTGTGTCACATACATGGCCTCCAACCTCAATGCTTTTGGCCTTGCTGGCTGCCTCTGCCTCTTCTCTGGCCAGACCTCCCCCATCTAAGAAAGGAATGAGAAGAAAGAAGGCCTACCAATGCCACATGCAAAGAGCTGGGCTGAGAAGGGGAAACACTAGGGAGGAGCCAAAAAAACAGCAGAAAGAGAGAAGAACAAGGCTAAAGATTCATACCCCCATGTCCTAGGCATGACCAGGAGACCCTCAGAGGGTATTTGTGCCTTTCATATGGCCCACTATTATCTTCTTTTTCTTTTCTTTTTTTTTTTTTTGAGACGGAGTCTCACTCTGTCGCCCAGGCTAGAGCGCAGTGGTACAATCTCGGCTCACTGCAAACTGTGCCTCCCAGGTTCAAGCAATTCTCTGCCTCAGCCTCCCAAGTCGCTGAGATTAAAGGCGCCCCACCCCCCCACCACACCCAGCTAGCTTGTATCTTTCTTTAGTAGAGATGGGGTTTCACCATCTTGGCCAGGCTGGTCTTGAACTCCCGACTTCGTGATCCCCCAGCCTTAGCCTCCCAAAGTGCTGGGATTACAGGCATGAGCCACGGTACCCGGCCCCTTTTTCTTTTTCTTTAAAGACAGGGTCTCACTTTGTCACCCAGGCTGGAGTGCAGTTGCACAATCACAGCTCACTGCAGCCTAGAACTCCTGGGCTCAAGCCTCAGCCTCTCAGATGGCTGGGACTAGAGGCATGCGCCACCACACCTGGCTAATTTTTTATTTTCTAATTTTTGTAGAGATAAGGTCTTTACAAAATATTGCCCAGGCTGTTCTCAAACTCCTGGCATCAAGTGATACTCCCACCTCGGCCTCCCAAAGTGCTGGCATTACAGGTATGAGCCATAGTGCCTGGGCCCCGCGATACCATCTGTATTGCCATTTCCTACAAAAGAATCTTTCCTTCCCTTCCAGAGCAATCATGTCAGCTCGCCCTACCTTTGTCCATTCTCCACACCACATTTAGAAGGATCTTCAGAAAATACAAATCAGATTACATCACTGCTCTGCTTAAAATGACTCAGAGGCTTCCTGTTATCTTCAAAATCTAATTTACCTGTTTCTTGCGGTCTATACAATCCAGCTTGGCACCTTGCTTTACCCTCCCCTTGTCCCCACCGGAGTCCTGCTCCACTTCTCATCCAAAGAAGAGACTTCTCCACCACCAAGTTACTCACTTTTCCATTACCCTGTTTTATTTTATGTGCAGCCAGCATTTTTCTTGATCTGAAATGATTCTATTTATATATTTGTTGACTTGTTTGTTGAGTGACTCCTCTCATTAGGGTGTAAACTACAGAGGTGGGGGACCCCTTGTAGAATCTTGCTCATCTCTAAAACACCCACAGCTGAGACAGAGCCTGCTGAACAAACAATCCCCCAGGCCACAGTGCCCAGCACTTATGAGGTCATCAGTAACAGTGAGGACACTTGCTTCGTCCTCAGGAAAGCCCTGCACCAAGGCGATGGCTGTTGCTGCTGCCTAGCACTAGAGAGGTTGGGAAGAGCGATTTTAGACCTGGCGGGAGAGACAGGCCATCCCCACTTGACCTACCACACGAAGGGTGTCAATGAGTGGGTGACAGGTGTCACACTGGGCAACAGGGAAGGAATATCCTTCATGTCCTTCCTCACTTTCCTCTGCAAGTCGCTTGTCTTTCTCACTACTCTTGTGACGCATCAGTTGATAATGCATGATTTCTTCTGAGGCACACCCACTGTAATAATACCCAACAAAATTCCAGGGGTCTTGATACAGAGCCTAGAGAATGCTTTTTTTTTTTTTTTTTTTTTTTTTTAACTGAAACCTCAGTGCCTCATCTAGACTTGCTGACTTGCTACTGGTTGGACTTTGCTCCTTTTTCCCTAAGAGGTCTAAGGGCATCTTTGCTGCTGCTGTGGAGGAACTCTCATTTCAGGATATGCTCAGTGTCAAGGGATCAAATTTAGACAGGAAGGTGCTGGAATGTGACTTTCTTTCCAGACTAGGTCCTCTTCAAGTTGGCCTGTTTGATGTCTCCTATCTCATTGAGCCCCTACATATTTCTTTTTCCATTTCACTTTAAATTAGTCCAGTTGGACAAATAATTATGCAGTGCTGCAAAGCAGGCAGCGGCTTAGTCCTAGGGAGACATAGATGTGTCAGACCCAGTTTGTCCTCAAGGAACCCCAAGTTAAGAGATGGAGAGAAAACAGTTACATGGACATAGATAGGGAGTGCAGATGTGTAAAACATGGTGAAGACACTTAGTGAAGGCATGAGAAGACAGTACAGCTTGGGGTGAGGCCAGGTACAGCTTCCAGAAGAGGCAAGTGTAAGCCTTGAAGGATAAGTGAAAGACACTGGGAAGAGCACCTGCGAAAGGCCTGTCTCCTCTTCCTCCCCCTCCTCATTGCAGGCTCCAGGTTAGGACACCTACCCAGGTGCCCTGAGCTACTAATCAGAAAAGCTCCTCTCCCCAGTTGCCCCACTGCAGACCCCAGGGTTACTGGAGGCCCAGTGTCCTGCCCTGGTTTCTGAGCAATCCACTCACTTCCTGGAGGAGACTTACCTTGTTCTCAGCGTCTGAGAGGGTGATGTCCTGCTGAGTCACAATTTCCATGGGACTGGTCAGGAACAGATCCTCTTCTAAGCCAGCCTCTCCACTGTTTGCCTTCTTCATGGGAATGGCATTGGGTGGCCGCTGCCCAAACTTGATATTCTTGCCCAACTGTTGCTGGAGAGAAACGGAAGAAAGACATTCTGAAGCAGTGAAGCAGTTCACAAGCAGCACGACCAGCTGCTCACTAGCATATCTAGTGAGCACTGAGGCGTACCTTGTGCACCACTGATTCTAGAGTCAACACCATGCCAGGAAACCATGCCGCCACCCTGTAATAAGTTAATTTCTTTTCCACTTTCTTTTCTTTTTTTTTTTTCTTTCCCACCTTCAAGCCATGGGCTTTTTCGTCCAGCCACCTCTTTCACGGAGATCCCAACATTTCCCGGTGGGCAAGGTGGCCACATTTTCTGAACCAAAAGTTGAGATATATGTTATGATGAAAATTTTTGATTAACCTATAAATTCATTTATATAAAAAGTTTTTTAAAAGTGAAAAAAAATTATAGAAAACAGTTACATGAAATGTAGGAACCGCTGGGGGAAATCAAGACCCTTAACGTTGGTGCAACTCTCCAGACCCTTTGGGACATATTCCCTTTGAAGATCTATACTTCTGCAGCCCCCTCCACCAGCCCTTAGCTCAAGAGCCCAAACCAGAACATTGCATTCTGCCACACTGGGTCACTGCCAAAGCAAAGTGACCCAGGGCCAGCAAGTCTTTCCATGATCAATACTGAAACCCTGAAAAGAATAGAACAATTGGGATGTCCTCTTTGCCTTGCTGTGGCCACCTAACAAAGGGGACGAAGGAACCGAGTGGGGAAAAGGGGACAAAGGGGACAAAGGAACTGAGTGGGGAAAAGCCAAGGAGGGCCTGATTACTGGTGAGTGGCAGCTAAAAGGACAGGGAGAAGGGAAGGGGAAGTGGGGTTAAAATTAGAAAGGTTAAATAGTATTTGCAAGTAGAGGAAGGTCAAATTAGAATAGCAAAATGTCTTCAGAAGTTGCCCAAAGTCCCCTGGAGGTAAAATTGCCCCCAGCTGAGAACCACTGCTGTAGACCTAGGTCCTTGGGTTTCATAGTCACTATATGCCTCAAAACAGGTATTTTCTGATGTTCATCTTTTGTTTGTTTGTTTGTCTGAGACAACAAACAAAAGATGAACATCAGGGTCTGGTTCTGTTGGCAGGCTGGAGTGCAGTGGCACAATTTCGGCTCATTGCAACCTTGACTTCCCAGGCTCAGGTGATTCTCCCATGCTTGGGTGATCCTCCTACCTCAGCCTCCCAGGTAGCTGGGATTACAGGCATATACCACCATGGCCAGCTAATTTTTGCATTTTTTGTAGAGATAGGGTTTCACCAAGTTGCCCAGGCTGGTCTCAAACTCCTGGACTCCAGCAATCCACCCACCTCGGCCTCCCAAAGTGCTGGGATTACAGGTGTGAGCCACCACACCTGGGCTGATATTTATCTCTAATCTGGCTAATATTTAATCTCACAGGACTGCAAAGAGCCATAGCAATCACCTACTCAAACCACTCCCCTTTGCAAAAAAAAAAAAAGTCTGAGGCCTGGTGGAGAGAGGTGACTGGTCCAAGCTTACGGAAATGAGTAGCTCCAAAGGAATCTGAACTCAGGTCTTGTATTTTATTTATTTATTTATTTAATTTTTTGAGATGGAGTCTTGCTTTGTCGCCCAGGCTGGAGTGCAACGGCACGATCTCGGCTCACTGCAACCTCTGCCTCCTGGATTCAAGCAATTCTCCTGCCTCAGCCTCCCAAGTAGCTGGGATTACAAACATGTGCCACCATGCCCAGCTAATTTTTGTATTTTTGGTAGAGATGGGGTTTCACCACGTTGGCCGGGCTGGTCTTGAACTTCTGACCTCGTGATCCACCTGCCTCGGCCTCCCAAAGTGTTGGGATTACAGGCGTGAGCCACTGCACTCAGCCTAGATCTTTAAAAAATAACATTCAGTGTTGTTTTCATTGTACTCCATGGTGTTCATAAATTTGACATTGTACTTCTTTCTTCCAGGGGTAGAAATAAAGAGATGGAGTATTTCTAACACTTCACTGATGTTCCCTGGTGGAAGAATCCCTTGAGGGAAATGTCTTCTCTCCCTTTGAACTCAGTGGTACCAAATCCACCCACCTTTGCCCAGCTGCCCCTCAGCCTTGCACAGTGGGCAGCGAGACTGCAGAGACATAACAGCGATGAGCCCAAGGCTCCCTCCCCACACCCCCAGGGACCCCAGCATGCCAAGTCAGGAGCACAGCCAGGCAAGGGCTTGTATTGGATCCGTTGGTATTTCAGCCTGAGCCTCGCTCTCCCAGCCTCACAGGAAAGGAGCACACATGAAAAGCCAAGTTCAGCAAGGGAAGTACAGCGTCAGCAGCCTGGAAGCGTTGTGGGGAGGAAAAGCCTGAAAAGGGTGTCTTTTAAAAACAAGTCCAACGGGAAGTAGCAGGTAGTATCTGCTCTAAGCGAATCAATAAGCAGGCACAGTTAGAACAGCCGATGGATGGAGTTAGACAAGAGGACATGGAATAACAAGGTCACAGGCCCATCTCACCCTGCAGCCTTGGGAGAGGGGTGGGGACCCGTGCAGAAGAGGTGGGTATGGTTTCTGTGTCCTCCCAGCCCAGCCTTCTCGAGAAGTATTGGCCACGAGCTGGAAACTGTTCTAAATCCCCTAAGATTGAGACATCTCCTGTTGGGAGGGTCTGCTCTTTACCAATGCTGAGATGAGGACATTTCTTGTGCTTTCAGTGGAAAGGAGAATTCCTTTTTTTTTTTTTTTTTGATACAGAGTCTCCTTCTGTCACATAGGCTAGAGTGCATGATCATAGCTCCCTGCAGCCTCGATCTCCTGGGCTCAAGGGATCCTCCTGCCTTAGCATAGGACTAAGCAGTTAGGACCAAATAGCTAGGACCACACGCATCAACTACCACACCTGGCTAATTTTAAGATTTTCTTGTAGAGAGAGGGTCTTGCCATGATGCTCAGGCTTGTCTCAAACTCCTAGGCTCAAGTGATCCTCCTGCACTAGGCACCCAAAGTGCTGGGATTACAGGTATGAGCCACTGCAGGCAGCCGGAAAGGATAATTATTTAAGGAACTTCCAAGGAGTACCTGACCTAACACACTAATACCATTTAATTAGGATTTTTGCCATCATCACAAAAAAGAACAAATATACTCAAACTTCACTTCATTTTAAATTTTTAAAATTTAATTATATTTTTTAGTCAGGGTCTCCTGTTGCCCAGGCTAAAGTGCAGTGGTGCCATCATAGCTCACAGCAGTCTCAAACTCCTGGGCTCAAGTAATCATCCCACTTCAGCCTCCTAAGTAGGTGGGATTACAGGTGCATACCACCATGCCTATTTTTAAAAAATTTTTGTAGAGTTGGGTGGGGCCTTGCTATGTTGCCCAGGCTAGTCTGGAACTCCTGGACTCAAGCAATCCTCCTGCCTCAGCCTCCCAAAGTGCTGACATTACAGGCATGAGCCGTTGCACCTGGCCTGCTTTACTTCATTAGGGCCACTTTTATAATACTCATGTTGGTCCATTTTGATGCTTACAAGACAAAAAAAAGAGCATGGCAAAATGTAATCACAGTCTGAATTGAAATAATGTCCAAAGATGGAATGACTATTATATCTACAAATAGAAAAGAGAACATAGAAAGAAAAAAAACATGGAGTAAGTACAGGAAAAAGAAGGTGCCTGGTACAAAGCAGGGAAATGAAAAGAGAATGTTCAGAAGTGAAGTTGAGAATTAAAGAAAAGATGGAAATCCGGGGCTATGCTAGACCTAAAAAAAAAAAAAAAAGAAAAAGAAAAAAAGGAGAATTAAAGAAAAGAGACAAATCGAGAGGAAGGGACAGCGAACAGAGAAAATGCATAAGGAAGAAGAGGGAGAAGGGGCCAGGAAGAGCAGGAGGCCAGCGGCAGCTGCAACAGCTGGGGGATGTGGGCAAGAGAGGGCAGCGGGAGAAGAGGAGGGAGGGCGGGTAGCAGAATGTATCTATCATGTAGTCACAGATACGTTCATCCTGTCAAAATCAGCATCCTGCTGCTGTCTTTTAGAATGAAAGTGTGCATCTTAGTAAAGAAGCTGACTTGAAGTCCCCCCAAAGAAAACAAGCTCAGGCTGGTGGCTGGGGAACTCAGAAGAGAAACTGAGATGAAAGGGGAATGTGGCCATGACGAGGAGGAGGGCTACAGTTTCTATGTCCAGACGAAGGACTGTCCTCAAAGAATGCCCTACAGCTGTCTGGGATGAGCCGGTGGACCTAGGCCAGGACCGGACTCAGGGTCCAAGGCATGGTGCTCAATCCTCAGGTACTCAAGGCCAAGGCCTCGCCCCTACATGCTCTCCCTGCGGTACATCCTCTGAATGCTTCCTTCAGCCAACTCAGAGGAGACTGGCTGATATTTATTATAGGAACAATTAAAAGTTTAGTACTAACACCTATTTGGCAATCTCAGGTGTTACATGAGTTGACTATGTGAACAAATGTGTCTTTTTTTTACTTTAATTCTGCCGACTATTCAGGCATTGTCATGAGAGGAACTATGAAATAAACAATGCCTGAAAACCAGGCTGTTTGAGATAAACCAGCCTTTAAGTTTTCAGAGAGATAAACTACCACTCCTCCCATCTTTAAATATACATATATCCCTAGTCTCCATCTTTTTTTTTTTTTTTTTTTTTTGGAGATGGAGTCTCACTCTGTCACCCAGGCTGGAGTGCCAATGGCACAATCTCGGCTCACTGCAACCTCCACCTCCTGGGTTCAAGTGATTCTCCTGCCTCAGCCTCCTGAGTAGCTGGGACTATAGGCAGCCACCACCACACCCAGCTAATTTTTGTATTTTTAGTAGACACGGAGGTTCACCATGTTGGCCAGAATGGCCTCGATCGCCTGGCCTCAAGTGATCCATCCACCTCAGCCTCCCAAAGTACAGAAATTATAGGCATGAGCCACCACGCCCGGTCCCCAGGCTCCTTCTTTATACACACGGGAAGTATAAGTAGAAGGGAGAGTGGAAACTCGTGCCTGTACGGATACTCCATGTTGCTGGTGGCCATGAATGGAGTTACTGTTGAGACTGGAATGTGAGCTACAAGGAACTATATTTTATTCATTCAAATTGGACCATTTTGTTGAAATGTGGAATGCTGGAGAATGACGTTATAGGAATGCACATCCATATTTATAAGGCTTATTCCTACAGTGTGGAAATGCCGAGCACCCCGTATTCTGCAGCTCTCCGCCAGTGTCTAGATTTTCCCATGCTTCAGACTACGTCTGAAGAGCAAAGCAGAAAAAAAAATAAATAAATAAAGTTGCTGTCTTCTTGAGCAAACTACAGGTATCTCCATAGTTAAAACGAATTAAAAAAACCATACAGAATTAAAGACATCCTGCTCTAGGAAGAAGTGGCTAAGAGTGGGTATTTATTCTTTGTGTCCTTGACAGCTGCATTAAGGTGCCAAAATCCCCGAATGTATGACTTCGGTATTTGTAAGTGAAATCCAGCTTGGTGGGAGATAGAAGCTACTCAGGATGGAAATTCTCCCTCCTACACCAGATAATCCATGGTACAAACAGACTAAGCATTTCCTGACAAAAGTATGGTATAATCCTAAAAATTACCTGCAGACTTAGACTGGTACCCCTGAGGTTTATCACCAGTTGGTGCATACCTCACAGCCTGGTCTGATCTTAAACAAACAGGCACCCTCCCTGATCCATGCTAGTGGGCAGCTGTAGGGAACGTTAAGGTCATTGTAGCTGAAATGCAACGAAGTGCAAAGCTTCTGAAGCCGCTCTGTGCTACAACGGTGATTTTATAGAGATCACAGATCTTAAGAGCAGGAGGGGCCCTCTGATCACCCCTTGTATGCATGCCCCTTAGTTTTCAGAAGGAAAAAGTGTCAGTGAGGTTAAACAACTTCACCCAACGACACACAGCCAGGTGGGGCCGGCTTTGTATTTCACCACATTCTGTCACTCATTCAATTGGTATTCATACTACCAGCCATGAAGCAACTCTGTTATGTACAGAGTCATCACAAAGGACATCACTGCTGGTGTTGTCCCAGTAACTGCCCTATATATTTATTTTCACTATGCACATGTACTATTTTTATATTTAGAAAAAAATGGTGATTTTTTTCTTAAAAAGTTCAATCTTTTGCCACAGAAATTGTGGCAGATGGTGGATTCACGTTACTCAGGAAAGGGGAGGCTGGTTTATGCTGTCTTCAGTTCTTCTGTACTCAGTGGTGAGATATCAATGGGCAACCTAGGACAGTTCTCGGTTAGCTGACCATGTGCGGGCACTAGAGGGCAACCTTTCCAAACGCAGGCATTGCGGACACCCTCCTGTGCGTCTCTAGGGGCTCCAAGGGCTGGAAGTTTCTTAAGCCACAGAGAAAAATGGCATTCCAATAGACATCTCATTTCAGAAGAATGTCTTAGTAATGGTGGCTAATCAGCTTGCCAGGACATATACTGTCAAATAGGTGTTTTCCATTACTTCTCTTTTTTAAAAAATAAACATACACACATACACAAAGACAATTCCAGACATAAAAACATACATGCCTCAGACACAATTAAATTCTCTTATTCCATGCTGGCATCTACAAGGGGGCAGTCTCTTAGGCTGCTTACTAAGCATCAATACCAGCAGCACGCTGTCATGGAAAAATGCAAAGCATTCATGCAAGTTAATAAAGTTACTATCATTTCTACAACTTACCAGGAACATACTGCTTAGTCGACTGAAAAATAAAGCACAGTCTTTTTGGGGGTGATACAGTTATGTCTCAAGTCACTCCAAAAAATTACATTTTTATTGATAATGGTCCCCATTTCCCTCCGCAAAGAGCGAACAAAGCCTTTTATGTTTTCAAAAATATAACTACAGAGCTGAAAGGAAGCTTGTGAATCCACGCAGCAGAAGCAAAACTAGGCAGACCTCGTATGAATGGATATTGTCAAAATGAACGCACACAAATTAAATAGTTATTCTGCTTTACTCACATTTTTCTTCCTGCGTTTATACAATTGTTGCTTTGGGGAAGTTAGTCATTTTACATTTTATTAATTATGACATCAGATTCTTTAAAATCATGCTTTACTGTTAACAGAAATACCAGGCACTCACATATTTTTATTTTCCATCTTTCCAATATTGCAGAATTATACAGTATATTTTTTACAACACGAAATCCACTTCTTGGTGTGGCAGTGGCATGTGGTGTGATCTGACACAGCAGATATCATTGAAGACAAGAGATTTGTATCTGATTTTTTTTGAAAAACTCCTAAAAAGCTCTCATAAAATACAGCTGTTGTGTGAACTGAAATCTGTAAGTCATTCCTCTTAGAAAGGGGATATGATGAACCAGAAGTTCACAACTTCTTAAGAATAATATTGCAAGAATTGAAAGACTTGAAGAAGGAAAGGTAAAGAGGAGGTGGGTCAAGGTTTTCTTTGGCCTTCGCCATCCCTCTTCTTCAGCCCGTAAGAAGTCACAGCTTGCTTTTTCTACAAAAAGTGTAAGAGCACAGCCAGTTGGAACCAAGAAGGGAAGCTGGTTAGGAAACGCTGAGCTATGAAGGACATGTCTGAGGCTGGCCCTGAGGGTGGGACTACGGCTTTGGGCAGTGGTGGCAGCAGGCATCAAGATCTAGGCAAGTTGGGTGTGGTTCCCGTCTGCCACATGCTACATTCAGCTGGGTGTTATGTGGAATATGTGACCAGTCACATGTTCCTGGTCACACATTCAGGACGAAATTTTTCTGAGTACAATCCTTCAGTGTATCAGTAGCTACTGAGGGTAGTTGTTCTTTTTTTTTTGCTTGTTCATTGATTCATTCATTTATTAATCCATTGTTGTACACTTACAGACAGGTGGCAATCAGCAGCCCAGGGCCCTCTGTTCATAACCTGGAGAGCCTCCAAGCAGCTAGCTGGAGAGCCTCAGAGAAGTGCTTGCTTGGGCCTTTCTCTTGGGTAAGAGAAGTTTTTTTTGACAAGCTCTCACTCTGTCACCCAGGCTGGAGTGTGGTGGTGTGATCTCAGTTCACTGCAACCTCCACCTCCCAGGCTCAAGCCATCTTCCTGCTTCAGCTTCCTGAGAAGCTGGGACTACAGGCCATGCCCGGCTAACTTTTGTATTTTTGGTAGAGACGGGGTTTCACCATGTTATCCAGGCTGGTCTTGAATTCCTGAGCTCAAGCAATCCACCTGCCTCAGCCTCCCAAAGTGCTGGGATTATAGGCGTGAGCCACCATGCCTAGCCAGGTGAGAGAATTATCTGCCAAGCAACTAGGCAGACCTCATAGTCAGACTCTAAGTGTCTTTGCTCTTCTTGTTTTTCCTGTATTGCCAGTCATTTCAATCATATTTAGTGAAGAATTCTTTATTATATTTTCATTGTTAGGGAGGTACCACCTGAGTAAATTTTAGGTAGGAAAACTGCCCCACTCTGCAGAGTGAACTGGAAGGAGGCTTACACGCTTTGTGATTTTCTTCTGAGACAAGGTGGCTCAGGGTAGCGAGATTTACAAACACAGTAGAAAAATAGAGTCATATTCACTGTCCAATTATAGACTTGGAAAGTGGATACGTGTTATATACACTCTCAGTTGACAGTTAGCCCCGATTCAGAGATTATGGGCAATGCTTCACGGTTAGGAACTCTTCCTCACATCCAAGTCCTGCAGGTTTTTTTTTTTAGATGGAGTCTCACCCTGTCACCCAGGTTGGAATGCAGTGACATGATCTCGGCTCACTGCAACCTCCACCTCCTGGATTCAAGTGATTCTCCTGCCTCAGCCTCCCTTGTAACTGGGATTACAGGTGTGCACCACCACGCCCAGCTAATTTTTGCATTATTAGTAGAGACAGTGTTTTGCCATGTTGCCCAGGTTGGTCTTGAACTCCTGAGCTCAAGCAGTCCACCCGCCTTGGCCTCCCAAAGTGCTAGGATTACAGGCCTGAGCCACCATGCCTGGCCCCAAGTCCTGCAGCTTCTCTTGGGTACTTGTTCTCACATCCAGTAAAATATGAGGGGATAATTTGAAAGAAAAGGAGAGGGTGTGTCATGCAGGTGGCTGCAATGGTGACAGTGTAGCTTTTGCAGGTAGACAGGAGGTGTCCAGGGAATAGAGTCAAATTCAAGACAGCAACAATTCTCGCCAGGAGTGACCCCTGGACCTCCCAATCCATTACTCAAGGCCAAGCTCAGGACTTTTCCCACTTCCCTCCAGAGCTGGGCCCCTCCTACGGCTCTGACCTTCCACTCTCAAGCTGTCTTACCTGAAGAGTTTTGACTTTGCCCAGGATGTTGTCCTGTGACATTGCTTGAACTGTCTGCTCACTTTCTGCTCCCCCATCAGGGATAAAAATACTGTCATGGGAAAATGCCCGGGATCCCATAGAATAGTTGAAGGACCTGGAATGCAAATCATGTGCTTCATTTTATTAGGATAAAATTTCTTGTGGCAATTCAGTTTTCCGTTTTTCCTGATTGGAGGGACTCCACCCACATTCCCTGTCTCGCTCAGCAAGCACTTCCAGCATTGTGTCCCTTTCTGCTGGGGGTCAGCCAAGGAGTTGGGTAGACGAAAGGGACCCACAGGCACAGGGGGGCACATCTCTTACACAATCCTGGTTCAGAACTACTCACCGTGAGAACACAGACAGTTACGTATTTGTATAGGATCCAGGACAGAAGGCACCGCAGAACTTTTAATTGGAAAAGCGTTTCTCCAGCTGAGCTGTCACTATCAGTTTTGTCCCAGTAAGTCTTGCCAAACAGAATTTATTAAGTAACATGCAAATCTAGAAGAGGCAAGGATTTCTTTCTTTTGGATTATAACCAAACTGAAAGAAGATATATACATCCCAAACAAAGACTTTGGAAGAAGATTAGAGAATTATTGATAGAGACGATAAACGCTTTAGGAATTTCAAGAAAATGGGAGACATTTGTGTTAGGGCCATTCTGACAGCTTTGCCTATATGGAACGCCTTATAGGTGGCTGGTGTTTTTAAGGAAAAGTTTTTAAATTTTTATTTATTTATATTTTTTAGAGACAGGGTTTCGTTCTGTTGCCTAGGCTGGAGTGCAGTGGTGTGATCACGGCTCAATGTAGCCTCAAACTCCTGGGCTCAGGGGATCCTGCAGAGTGACTAGGAATACAGTCGTCTGCTCCCACATCCAGCTAATTTATCTTATTTTTTTTATAGGAATGGGTTCTTGCTATGTTGCCAAGGCTGGTTTTGAACTCCTGGCTTCCTCACAAAGCACTGGGATTACAGGCATGAGCCACTAAGTCCAGCTAAAACACTTTAGTTGAAGGGTGGGACTTGGAAAAAGTCTGGACATCTACCTGACAACGAGGAATAAGCCATGTGAAAAGCATGAAGAGGGCTGGGTGCAGTGGCTCACGCCTCTAAGCCCCAGCACTTTGGGAGGCGGAGACAGGTGAATCATCTGAGGTCAGGAGTTTGAGGCCGGCCTGGCCAATATGGTGAAACCCCATCTCTACTAAAAGTACAAAAAAAAATTAGCCAGGCATGGTGCCAGGCACATGTAATCCCAGCTACTTGGGAGACTGAGATGGGAGAATTGCTTGAACCTGGGAGGCAGAGGTTGCAGTGAGCCAAGATCGTGCCACTGCACTCCAGCGTAGGCAAGACAGAGTGAGACTCCATTTCAAAAAAAAGAGAAAAAAAAAAAAAAAAAGGAAATGCACAAAGAGGAAGGAGCAGAAGCAAACTGTTCCTTACTTGATCTTGGAAACTAACTTATCTCTGGGGAAGAGCGCACACTGAGGCTGCCAGCTCCTCACAGGGGCAGGAAGAGCAGCAAGGCAGGCACATTCCCACGATGCCAGGCAAAACAGGTGGCACCTGGGAGGGAGAGAGAGCATCACCTCCCCCTTCCCCTCCCCAGAAAGAGGGCCCGCTGGGGTTTCCCCAGTGACCAAGGGCATGAGAGAATAACCAGCACCAGGGGCGGGTGTTCCCAGGTGCTGCCTCTAAACTGAATTACAGAATGCAGTGTGCAACGTCCTGGGGCAGCTGTACTTGTTATCTGCCCAAATCTAGACCCTGTTGGGAACACTAATTACCAAATATTACCATCTAGTGTGCTAAATTACAGGCAACATGGTGTAAAAGTGTGTGAGGTTTACAAACAAAAGACTTGGATGTGAGCCTCCTGGATATGTGATCTTAGGCAACAATAATAATTATTATCAACATCAGCCCTTACTTTGATTTAAAAAAAAAACTGTGTGGAGTTTTACTTTCATTATCTCATTTAAGCCCCATCATCACCACCTTGTGACAGATGAAACTCAGTGAGTGAATAACTTATATAAAGATGTCCACATTGAAATAGTAGGTTGAGAAACTGAATTCAGATCTGCTGAGAATAATTCCATGCCAACCAGCTGCCACATTTTAAAGTGGTAGAAGGTCTTATAGTATTGCCACCCTTGAGTGACACAGGGTATGGGAGACGGTGCAGATGCCACGCGGGATGGAATATGAGAGGGCTGAAGATACTAAATAGCTAGAATAATGCCTAAGTCTTCAGCTAAATAACACAGGGCACCATATAGCAGCAATTCCCTTCGTGAAATATGAGGCAGTCTTTGAGGAAACATGCAGGGAGATTAGTATGTTATGCTCTCCCTGTCCCCAGAGAATCTGGGACCTATGTCACAAACTGAGCTTCCACATTCACCTAAAAATGTTATGAAAAAAACTTTCCATTTGAAGTTGTGGAATCGAACTTCTGAACATTCTGTCTAAACTTCTTTTTCAGACCCCTGGTTATGACTCCGATGAGAGAAGGGGTAAATGACTTCATTCCTTTTTTTTTTGAGACGGAGTTTCGCTCTTGTTACCCAGGCTGGAGTGCAATGGCGCGATCTCCACTCACCGCAACCTCCGCCTCCTGGGTTCAGGCAATTCTCCTGCCTCAGCCTCCTGAGTCGCTGGGATTACAGGCATGCGCCACCATGCCCAGCTAATTTTTTTGTAGTTTTAGTAGAGACGGGGTTTCACCATGTTGACCAGGATGGTCTCGATCTCTTGACCTCGTGATCCACCCGCCTTGGCCTCCCAAAGTGCTGGGATTACAGGCGTGAGCCACCGCGCCCGGCCCATGACTTTATTTCTATACCATATTTTTGCAAAGGACATATATATATGTATATATATGTATGTATATATATGTGTATATATATATATGTACACACACACACACACATATATATATTCCAAAACATAAATACATACATATATATGTGTGTGTATATGTGTATGTATACATATATATATACACACATGTTCCCAAACATTCATGTAAACACTTATATGCCCATGTCTAAGTCCATCTTAGATGCTCAGTAAATGTCTCCTAATTTCTCACAGTTGTGAGTATAGAATCCACCAGTGCTAGGTTAAGTTCCATTCCAGTCTCTAAGTCAACCTTGACATCCCATTATTTCTTTCCACATAGGCTAAGAATTGGCCCTCTTCCTGCACTTTGGTGTTGACTCCAAACATTCCTGTTGCCAGCAAAGACCTGATGTCCATCCATTACCCACTTCCAGATGATCATATTGAAAAACAGAGAAAATGCAGAGAAATAATAGTAGTAGTAGTAATTATAATAGTGGTGGTCACAGTGGTAATATTTATCCTAGCTAAATTTTTTGGACACTTGTGATGTATCTTGCATATGTGCTAACCTCTTTAACATAATATCAGAATCTTTCTGATACAGAATATTTAAATCTTATGTGGTAGGCACTGTTAGTAAGCCTGTTTTATGGGCAAGGAAACGAAGGTTTGAAGACAATGAGCAATTTGCCATAAATAAGTAACTGTCTATATGATAATTCTTTTCTGGCCTCTCTTCCATTGGTCTACTTGTCTGTTTTTTTGTTTTGTTTTTACTTTTGTTTTTTTAACTTGTCTGTTTTGATACCAATAATATCACACTATCTTAATTGCTGTAGCTTTTTAAGGAGTCTTGATATCTAGTAGTTTAAGTTTTTCAGCTTTGGTTTTCTGAGTTTTAAAAACGTATTTATTTATTTTTTAAGGTGGCTATTCTTGTCTCTTTGTATTTCTACATAATTTTTTTTTTTTTTTTGAGACAAGGTCTTGCTCTGTTCCCCAGGCTGGAATACAGTGGCATGATCTTGGCTTATTGTAACCTCTGCCTCCCGGGTTCAAGCAATTCTCCTACCTCAGCCTCCCGAGTAGCTGGGATTACAGGTGCCTGCCACCACAACTGGTTAGCTTTTATATTTTTAGTAGAGATGGGGTTTTGCCATGTTGGCCAGACTGGTCTCAAACTCCTGGCCTCAAGTGATCTGTCCACCTTGGCCTCCCAAAGTGCTGGGATTACAGGCGTGAGCCACTGCACCTGGCCTCTACATAAATTTATACATATACACATACATTAATATACTATTGAGATTGCTTTTAGATGGCATTAAATTATACATTTTTAAACTGATGCTTTTATATTATTGACTCTTTTAATCCATGAATATGGGCTAACTCCTTATATATTTATATCATTTTAAATTCCTCTTAATAAATGTGTTGAGGTTTTCTGTATAGAGGTCTTGTACATATTTTGAAAGGTTTATTCTCATATATTTGATGTTTCTGAATTTATTGTAAATGGTATAGGCTAAAATTTATATTTTCCAATTTTTAAATTAGTGGATATAAAAATATAACTTATTTTTGTATATTGCTCTTATAACCAGAAACTTTGCTAAGTTTATTTATTAATTATAATAACGTGACTGCTGATTCTTTTTTTTTTTTTTTTTAAGATAGAGTATCTCTCAGTCATGAAGGCTGTAGTGCAATGGCTCAATCATAGCTACTGGGCAACCTTGAAATCCTGGGTTCAGGGGATCCTCCTGCCTCAGCCTCCCGAGTAGCTGGGACTTCAGGCTCATGCCAGCATATTTGGCTTTTAAAATTTTTGTAGAGATGAGGTCTTGCCATGTTTCCCAGGCTGGTTTGGAACTCCTGCCTCAAGCCATCCTCCCACCTTGGCCTTCCAAAGTGCTAGAATTACAGGCATAAGCAACCACACCTGATGCATAGAATTTTTGTACATATGCTTGTATTACTGCATCTTTGAAAAGGCACATGATCTATTGATGTGGTTTGGATCTGTGTCCCGAAATCTCATGTCAAACTGTAGTCCCCAGTGGGAGGTGGGAGGTGGGAGGTGGCTGGACATGGGGATGCATTTCTCATGAATGGTTCAGCATAATCCCCTTGGTGCTGTTTTCATGGTAGTAGTAAGTTCTTGCAAGATCTTGTTGTTTAAAAGGAGCACTTTGAGCCTTGCTGTCTCTTGCTCCTGCCATGTGAAACACCTCACTCCCTCTTTGCCTTCTGCCATGATTGGGAGCTTCTTGAGGTCTCCTTAGAAGTAGAAGCCACTATCCTTCCTGTATAGCCTGCAGAACCATGGTCAATTAAACCTCTTTTCTTTATAAATTATTCGGTCTCAGGTATTTCTTTAGAGCAGAGCAAGAACAGACTAATACAGCTATCTTTTATTTATAGCTGATTTTAAAATTAGTCTATCTTTGGTTTTTAGCAGTTTTACTCCAGTATAGCAGAGTGTGAGCTTCTTTTAATTTATTCAGCTTGGGTTACACAGTGCTTCTTAAATCTGTGGCTTGATGTCTTTCATCAGTTTTAGAAATTCTCAGTCTTTATCTCTTAAACATTGTTTCTGCCCCATTTTTTTCCTCTAATCTCTCTCTGATCCTCCCATGTTAAACCCTTTTAACTACAAGCCACATATCTTTTATTGTCATTATTGTAGCTACCATTCTTTTTATTCAATATGATCTAGACTGGATATTTCTATGGACCTGCTTCCAACTCACTAATTTTCTCTTTAGCTAAGTTCAATCTGCTGTTGAAACCTATCTGTTGAGTTCTTAATTTCAGAAATATATTTTGGATCTCAAATTTCCACTTAATTCTATTTAATAAATTTATATTTCTGCTGAAATTCTCCATCTTGTAAAGTATATTCTTGAATATATTAATCACAATTATTTGAAAGTCTGTCTGAAACTCTAACATCTTGGTCACCTTTAGGTCTATTTCTATTATCTTGTTTTCCTTGTAGCCTGTTTCTTAGATGTCTGTTAATTTTTAATTAAACTTCAAACATCATGCCCCCAAAATTTTAGAGGCTGGGTTCTCTCCTTCCCTCCTTCCAGAAAGAACTCACCTGATATTCTTGAAGGCTGCAAGCAGCAAAGAAGCACATCACTTCAATCCAGTCAAAGGCTGAGCTGACTCATTGCTGGTTAGCAATCTTTGTAAGGCTTAGACTACCTCTGTTTTGTCTCCACTTCTAGGGTATAGTACTCCCAGAGCCTCAGCTGAGAGCCTGGGTTATTTCCTAAGATTCCCCTCCTTGGCACATCTGAGTGTAAACTGTTAGAAGCAGCTGCACCACATCTTAGATGCTTTGCTGCTTAAAAAGTTCTTCCAACAGATGCCCTAAGTCATCACTCTTGAGTTCAAACTATGACAAATCCCTAGGGAGTGAACACAATGCAGCCAAGTTATTGGCTATGGTATAACAAAGGAGACCTTGGCTCCAGTTCTCAGTACGTTCCTTATTTCCATCTGAGACTTCATCAGCCTAGCTTTCACTGTCCACATTAGTATCAGTATTTTTAGTCACAGGTATTTAGCCAGTCTCTAAGAAGTTCCAAACTTTCCCTTATCTTCCTGTCTTCTTCTGAGCCTTCCAAACTCTTCCAACCTTTGCCTGTTACCCAGTTCCAAGGCTGCTTTGACATTATCAGGTATCTTTATGGCAATGCCCCATTCTTTGGTACCAGTTTTCTACATTAGGTCATTTTTGTGTTACTGCATAGAAACACCAGATGCTGGGTAATTAATAAAGAAAAGAGGTTTAACTGGCTCATGGTTCTGCAGGCTGTACAAGCATGGTACCAATTATCTGCTTGGCTTCTGATGAGGGCCCCAAGAAGCTTACAATCATGGTAGAAGGGAGTGGGAGCAGGCACATGGTGAGAGCAGGAGCAAGAGGGCAGCAACTTGTATAATATTAAATCTAATATTAAATCTTTGGTAAGCATGGTTACCAGTTCCAGCTCCAAACAACTCTACAATGTAGATTATTTCCTTTTCTCTGAAGGGGAAGCTGAGGCAATGCATGGATAAAAATATTGCCCAAAGTTCCAAAATTTGAGGCATCGTTGGAATTGAAACTTAATAGCCTAGGCATGGAGATCTCAGCTTGAAACTATGTTCTAATGAACAGAGAGCTTGGTGGAACCATTGTCCTTAACCAGCTGGGAACTGCAAATTACATGATTGGGAGGTGGAGGGGCAATTTACCACAAATTGTACCTTAGCAGAGTTCATCTGGATTTCTTTATTCTTGACATTTAAAGATTGTTCACATTTGATTGTGAAGCAGGCCAAGTGCACTTCTCCTTGCTTCCTTTTAAGAGGGAACCAAGACTGAGGGGCCTTTCAGCCTTAATGCTGCAACTTTCCCTCCTCACCCTCTCTCTGCTCAAATGATAGAAAATGGACTTGCTGTGTGGGAACCTTTTCTTACACATGGCAAAAGCCAACTCTACAAAGAAAGGAAGAAAGGCCCAGCTGGGAAGTTCAGAACAGCACTGATCTCTGAGGAACAGTTTTATAAGCCCAGAGAATAATCACAGCTCTGACTTATAGAGGCCAGAAAAATGGTCCCTTTGGATTGGACATCCAAACAGCAGAAGTTCCTGGGGCTCTAGAAGGCAGTCGGCTCTCCTATGAACAGAAAGAAGCACAGCTGAGATGTCGTAACTGTCATTTCTCCATTTCTGCCCTGATTTGCTGTTGTCATTGATATTATTTTTATTTACAGAGAGGTTGGGCTTTGAAACATTTCATCAGGGGTTTCTAATCAGCTCAAAGATAACAGCTTTTGGTCTTGCCCCTCTACTTTTCACTGCCTCCTGCAGTTATCTCTTCAAAGACATTGATGAGAACAGCCTGAGGCTGCTCTTCTGGCTTTACCTTTAATAACTGCCCAACTCCAATGCTCTCTTCTCCATATGTGTCTCCAGCTGTAGTGGACCCTGCTATGTGCCTCTCCCACTGTCTCTGCAAACTCAACATGAGATCATCAGTTTTCCTATGGGACTCCTTTCTCTCCTATTTCTTTGTTACTCTCATTCCCCCATACTCTGTGCTATATTATTTCCTAAGTGAGGTAAGGTCCAGATGAGGAGGAAGATAAAGTGCAAAATCCTTAACAGGTAACATCACCAGTGCTTTAACTTTCAGAAATCCTTCAAAGACAATGTAAACATCAACGCAGAAGACTGGAAATCCTGGGCATGCAGATCCATTGTGAGTCTGCATTCCGCTCTGCCTGCCAATATTCCTCCGCACCTGTGTCTGGGGGCCCGGAGCACTGCTCTTCACATCTCTAGTGATTCTGAGTAAGCTGCCAGCAGCAAAAGACAGTGTGCTCTATCAGCGACGACAGGTACAGCCCTCACACAGCCAACGACCACTGCAGAAAGGGCCCCTCTGTGCTCATGGAGTCCAAGACCCAAATCTTTATGGATGGAGAAGCTGAGGCCCAGCAAGGTGAAGAGAGAGACTCAATCAAAACAGAACTGAAACTGGAACGCAGCCTCCTGGCTCACTGTTGACAGGGCTTAGTACAGTGTTTACAGATGTTTGGATTTCTTAGAGAACAAAGACATTGTACGAATGGTGGCTGCTGGATCACGACAAGAAAGGAGCATTAATTTAGAGGGTCCTAGTTCACCTGTAATTACAAATCTTACGCAAAAGAGGATATACCAGTTTTACTTTCTTTCTTTTGTTTTGGAGACAGAGTCTCACTCTATTGCCCAAGCTAGAGTGCAGTGGTCTCTCTGCCCACTGCAGCCTTGAACTCTCCAGGCGCAAGGGATCCTCCTACCTTAGCCTCCCAAGTAGCTGGAAATACAGGTGTGCACCACCGTGCCTGGCTAATTTTTAAAAATTTTTCATAGAGATGGGATCTTGCCATGTTGCCCAGGCTGGTCTTGAACTCCTGGGCTCAAGTGATCCTCCTGCTTTGGCCTCCAAAAGTGCTGGTATTACAAGTGTGAACCACTATGCCCAGCTCAGTTTTACTTCTTAAATTCAAAATCTGTCAATACCAAATGGAATCTCAGTATCCATAATTTTTTTCATATTTATGTAATATTGATCAAGGTTTTATTATGATAAAATATAACATAAAATTTACCATGAGCATTTTTTGTTTGTTTGTTTGTTTGTTTGTTTGTTTGTTTTTGAGATGGAGTTTCACTCTTGTTGCCCAGGCTGGAGTGCAATGATGCAATCTCGGCTCACTGCAACCTCTGCCTCCCAGTTTCAAGCAATTCTCTTGCCTCAGCCTCCCGAATAGCTAGGATTACAGGCGCCCACCACCATACCCGGCTAATTTTGTATTTTTAGTGGAGATGGGGTTTCTCCATGTTGGTCAGGCTGGTCTTGGACTCCCAACCTTAGGTGATCTGCCCACCTCAGCCTTTCAAAGTGCTGGGATTACAGGCATGAGTCACCGCACCTGCCTCATTTTAACATTTTTTTAGTATACAGTTCAGTGACATTAAATACATTCATATGATAATGAAACCATCACCACTATCACCTTCTAGAACTTTATCATCATCTCAAACTGAAACTTCATATCCATGTAACAATAACTCCCCATTCTCCTCTCCCCGTGGCCCCTGGGAACTATTATTGTACTTTCTGTCTCTGAATTTTACTATTCCAGGTACTTCCTTTAAATGGACTCATATAATATCTGTCCTTTTGTGCCTGGCTTATTTCACTTAGCATAATGTTTTGAAAGTTCATTGACATTGTAGCATGTGTCAGAATTTCCTTCCTTTTTAAGAATGAATAATTCCACTGAACGTATATCCTATGTTTATACGTTCATCCATCAATGGGCATTTGGGTTATTTCTCCCTTTTGGCTATTTTAAGTAGCACTGTAATGAACATGGGTGTGCTGATGAATGTTTTAAAAATACAGGGATGCAACCTTATGACTCATAACTATGTGTAGACATAGCTGAAAGAGTAAATAGGTGCACCGAAGTCCCCATTCCACACAGAAGATCCACATCATCTTGATATCCTCCCCCTAGTTAAACCGTCAGTATCTGTAAAGATCAGTAGAGACCTCATAAGACCACAGAAGTAAAGAAAGAGGAGGAAGAAGAGAAGTAGGAGGGTGCTCACTTCACCAGCACATACACTAAAATTGGAGCCATATGGAGAAGTTTATTATGGTCCCTGTGCAAAGATGACACACAATTAAGTGAATTAATGCAGAAACAGAAAACCAAATATCGCATGCTCTCACTTATAAGTGGGAGCCAAGTCTTGGAAACACACAGACGTAATGATGGGAACAACAGACACTGGGAACTCCAATAAGAGGGAGGGAGGGAGGGAAGGAGGGAGCAGGGGCAAGAGCTGTTAAGTTTCCTATTGGGTACTTTGCTCACTATCTGGGTGGCAGGATTAAACTAAGCTCGAACCTCAGCATCATACAATATATCCTTGTAACAAATCTATACATGTGTTCTCTGAATCTGAAATGGAAATTAAGAAAAAATAAAAGTAGGAGGAGGAAGGTAGGAAGAGGAGGAGGAAATTAAGAAAAGGGGAAGAAAGGAGGAGAAGAAGAGGAAAAATCCTTGACATTTGCCTAAAATCATGGGAAATTTTGAAGTCAGTTCTTGAAAAACAGATCCTGGTATCTAATGCACAGAACATTAGCCCTTGGGTTTCATCGCTGCCACTCCTACCCAAGAAGGTTCAAATGCCACGAATCCAGGAACTATTAGCTAGAGACTAGAGCTTTGAATAGGCTGAGTCAATTCTAAGGCAAGATGCGTTTAGCACTAAGAAAAACTCACAGAGGTTTACAGAGTCCTGTTCTACCTACATTTTACAACATGTAAGCCCTTTGATCTAACTCATTATGGGTTTAGAAAGACAGCAGGAAACACGCATTGCTGTTTCTCCTTTACTCTACCTCCTCTTTCCTTTCATTTACCCAGAGTGGAATGAATTAACTCTAAGATTCTACCTAGAGGCTCTAAACAGCTACTTTAGGGCCAGACATGTTGGCTAATGTCTATAATCCCAATGCTTTGAGCGGGGAGAACAGTTTGAACCCAGGAGTTCAAGATTAGCCTGGGAACCAAAGCAAGAGCCCATCTCTACAAAAAATAATTTAAAAAATTAGCCAGGTTGGCTGGGTGTGGTGGTTCTCGCCTGTAATCAATTCCAGCACTTTGGGAGGCCGAAGTGGGCAGATCACCTGAGGTCAGGAGTTCAACACCAGCCTGGCCAACATGGTGAAACCCTCTCTACTAAAAATATAAAATATTAACTTGGTATAGTGGTTCACACCTATAATCCCAGGTACTCAGGAGGCTGAGACAGGAGGCTCATTTGAACCCGGAAGACAAAGGTTGCAGTGAGCTGAACTTGTGCCACTGCACTGCAGCCTGGGTGACAGAGTAAGACTCTGTTAAAAAAAAAAAAATTCGCTAAGCATAGTGCTGCACATCTGCAGTCCCTGCTACTCAGGAGGCTGAAGTGGGCAGATCGCTTGAGCCCAGGAATTCAAGGCAGCAGTGAGTTACGATCACGTCACTACACTCCAGCCTGGATGACAGAGACCTTGCCTCTAAAAATGAAATAAAATAAAAGGCTCTTTTAGAATAAATAACATAGTACTTTCAAACTCACTTTTGCAGCAAATACATCAAAATACAGTGCATTTTGAAGGGCCTGTCTCTGTGCTTAAAGTTGTCAAGAGTTTAAGAAACTCAGTGGAAGCCTAAATGGGTCATTGTCATCTGCTGGAATCGTATGTGGATAGGATGATTATGCTAGCAGCAATGGTTAGGGTTCACACACTGCAACCTTGGCTTAGGTGAAGCTTTTATTTTTATTATTACTTTTTCTGTTGAAGCCGGTGCAGACTTTGTTTTCCTAGACCATTTGAGAGGAAGTCACTGGCATGATGCTCATCACCCTGACCAGGGCAGGCAGCGGGGCCAGAGGACTTGCTGTTGAACACACAGTAAGATGTTCATGGGAACCTGCAGAAATAAATGCAGGAACCAGGAGGGCAGCTGAAAAATCAATGAGTGTATAACTGTCATTGTTGCCCTGGTTTCACTTCCACCCTATTGCAATGCAATTGACATCTGTAAATGATCTCCAAGTTACATCTTTTCCAATTCAGCTTTCTGTGAAACCCAACAGTAATCTTTTTTTTTTTTTTTTTAAGACAGAATCTCACTCTGTCACCTAGGCTGCAGTGCAGTGGCACAATCTCCGCTCACTGTAACTCCCACCCCCGGGGTTCCAGTGATTCTCATGCCTCAGCCTCCTGAGTAGCTGGGATTACAGGTGCGTGCCACCACACTCAGCTAATTTTGGTATTTTTAGTAGATATGGGATTTTGCCGTGTTGGCCAGGCTGGTCTCAAACTCCTGGCCTCAAGTGATCTACCCGCCTCAGCCTCCCGAAGTGCTGGGATTATAGTGGTGAGCCACTGCACCTAGCCCCCTACAATAATCTTAAAGGAGTTAATTTGCCAGCTTAGAAACCACTGGTGTTTCGCCGTGCCAAAATCCTCCCATATAAAGCTGCAGTGGTTGCTTGGCACTTAAGGCTCTTCATGCCAGAGCCCTAAACTACTCTGGCTCTATGAAACGGAGGTTGTGTAGTGTAGGGATTTTAGTGCTTACCTCTTAAACCTAGTTCTACCATGTCCAGCTATGTGGCCTTCAGCAAGCCTCTAAACCTCCAGGTGCCTCAGTTTCCTTAACTGTTAAGTGGGGATAATAATAGGACCTACCTCGCTGAGCTTTCATTGGAATTATATTTATGATACGTAAAACACTAAAATGGTGTAAGCAGTGCTGGGCATGGTGGCTCACACCTATAATCCTAGTGCATTGGGAGACCAAGGCAGGAGGATGGCTTGAGGCCAGGAGTCTGAGACCTGTCCTGTCTATAATAATAAAAAATAAAAAAAATCATGGGGCATGGTGGCCCATGTTTGTGATCCCAGCTACTCAGAAGGCTGAGGTGGGAGGATTGCTTGAATTCAGGAGTTTGAGGCTCCAGTGAGCTGTGATCCCACCACTGCACTCCAGACTTTGTGACAGAGCAAGACCCTGTCTCTAGAAAAAAAAAAAGGTTATTATTTAATGTCACTCTACTTCAAGCACCCGTGAAGCAAACCTGACCTGTCAGTCCTCAAATATCATCACTCGGCTCTATTACGGCATGAGCTCTTCTGCTGCAAGGACTGCCCAGTGCCAGTCTCACAATTTGGTTCTTATCCATTGATGTGCTTTGGATTTGTGTACCCACCCAAATCTCATGCTGAATTGGAGGAGGGGCCTGGTGGAAGGTGATTGGATATGGGGGTAGATTTCCCCCTTGCTGTTCTTATGATAGTGAGTGAGTTCTCATGAGATCTGATGGTTTAAAAGTGTGTGGCACTTCCCCCTTCGCTCTCTGTCTCTTCTGCTCTGCCTGGTAAGACGTGCTTGCCTCCCCTTCACTTTCCACCATGCCTGTAAGTTTCCTGAGGCCTCCCAACCATGCTTCCTGTTAAGCTTGTGGAGCTATGAGTCAATCAAACCTCTTTTCTTCATAAATTACCCAGTCTCTTTATAGCAGTGTGAAAATAGAGTAATATACCCATCCTTCAAGGTCTGGCTTAAACCTTATTAACCCCACACATCTTTTTTTGCTCCCTTTTGTCCCTTAGGGATCCTTTTGAATGAATCTCATGCTGTTTGATGTTACAGTTACTATAATCAAGCCTTTCATGAGAGGGAAAATAAAAGTGCTTCACATGTTGTAAAGTGTGACACAGATATGATTTTTTTTTTAAGACAGAGTCTCACTCTGTCACCCCAGCTGGAGTGCAGTGGCACTGTGTTGGCTTACTGTAGCCTCTGTCTCCTGGATTCAAGCAATTCTCCTGCCTCAGCTTCTCAAGTAGCTGGGATTACAGGCACCTACCACCACGCCGGGCTACTTTTTATATTTTTAGTAGAGACAGGGTTTCACCATGTTGTCCAGGCTGGTCTCAAACTCCTGACCTCAGGTGATCCACTCACCTCAGTCTCCCAAAGGGCTGGGATTACAGGGGTGAGCCACTGCCAATGTGATTTTACTGACAATAGTGATACCATCTTATCTCTACCCCGTAACTATGTGTGGCATGAGTTCAGGGGTCACATCTATTATCTTTGTTTTTCCCGTAGTGGCTTTCTATGATAAAATTTGTCAGCATTAAAAAAAAAATTTAGGATGGGTTCTTACTATGTTGACGAGGCTGGTCTAAAACTCCTGGGCTCAAGGAATCCTCCCACCCAGCTTCCCAAAGTGCTAGGATTACAGATGTGAGCCACTGTGCTCCATCAAACATTTTCAGTGGATGAGAAAATGATTACTACTGTAGGGTGAGCTGGTTTACCAGGTGGATTTTCTGTAGAGGGGTCACTGAGGTGATGGAAAGCATGACGCAGATTTGTTACAGGAAAATACAGAATATGCTCAGATCATGGGTATTTTCCAGGAGGTCACTGCAGAAATCTCTAAGAAGCCAGTGGGTGGGCAAGTCAGGAGGCTGTTCAGCCTCTCTCAAGGTTTCTTTTGAGCTTTCTTTTCAACTTAAACCAGGGAAATGCTCCCCGCTTTGCTTCCCACTTTCTATATCAAAGCTCTCTCTCACCTAGTTTTCCTGGTGTCTACATGTGTCAGTTACCACACTTGGATGTAGGCAACAGAAAATGACTTTGTCTCACTCAATCTAAAGAAAATGTACTAGAAGTATAGCGGAGGCTCACAGAACAAAAAGAAGCCAGGCTGCAGGCTTGGAAAACCACTGGAGTTGGGTAGGAGAGCTCTAGAGCCTAGGCATCGGGAGCCACAGCCACCATTAGGCCACAGGGAGAGCCAGTAACTGCTGCTCCTAGAAGTTGTGTTCCTTACATCTTTGATTCAGCTGCCAAGTTAAAGTCCCAGGGGAGAACATCTGATTGGCCAGTCTGGTTTGCAGGCTCATGCCAGGCTGCAGTGGGAGGGGAAGTGGAAGATCTGATCCTTTTGGCTTCTGTCCTAGGAAGCAGGCACTATGTCCTATCAGAGCTACACACAGCAAGGTAAAGGCAACTCTCTGAAAGGGAAGGAGCTTTCAGGAGTCGCCTTGACTCGAGAAGGGGAACTGGATGCTAATGGCTGAGTGACCAAAAATCAGCCACCACACCATGCTTCTGGGTTTGTGTCTGGGT